AGTTTCTTTTGTCAATACAATGCTTCATTGAATGTCTAATGTCATCTTGTGTTTACGTGCATAACCTGGTTATAAATACTAAAATATTGCTTCATAAATATGTTATTCAGTGCTTTTGCATGTGTTATATAGTCCCTATGTTGGTAGCCTTCACATGAAGTGATAAGCAAATAACTAACGTGTACATCACTTTCACATGACATCAACATATTCAAAGCCTTTACAAACCTGCTGCCATGGAAATGCTAAGTTTTATTACTTGCCCACATTGCTGGAACCGCATGCTTCCAGAACCAGGAAGCATGCTTAGAAAATCTCCACTGAATTGTCACACCCCGGCCACCACCTGTTCCAGCTCCTTCCCTCAGGCAGGCGCTTCAGCCAAAGGAGGATCAGGACATCCAGGCTACAGAGAAGCTTCTTCCCACAAGCCATCACTCTCTTGAACAGTTAAAATATTACACTTGCACAAATATTCCAACCGCACTTCTTAAATATATTGGTATGTCTTCTTTGCAAGTACAATTACAATTCCAGTACTGATACAGATTTATGAACAATACTTCTTTCAGTACTTTCTTTTAAATCACAAAATGAAATTGAATGTGACAAACAAGAATGAGTGTGAATAGCTAGAAATGGGTATATTTACAGACTACAACAGATTGATAATCTAGAAGCACAAACATTATCCACATGCATAAAGAATGCAATTTAGACAGCCAGTCAGCAGTTCAGATTTTGGAAGAAGCATGCTTATTGGCTCATAGATGCTAAGACTGACTACTTACATATTGAAATTTGGTTTTGAATGACATTTTTTACTTCAGTATTGATGTGATTCAGTCGGTACCACAATGGTATTGAATTTTGATACCCAGCCCTACTTACAAGACTCAAATGAAAGCAACAAAATGAGGGCTTCTTACTAGTGGGAGAGTTAACACATTAGGAACGTCTTAATAGGATAAATTAATGCCACTATTTTTTAACAGTGTTAACACATTTTCCTCAGTTGGCTCAGTTGATCTGTTGGTTTGTCCTGAAGCCCAGCTGCTTGTGTAGTGTTGCTATGACTCTACAACAGTAGTCTTTTTGTGCAAAGCTTTTAAATGAAAGTTCCATTACTGGCTGTCTTAATAAAAATATTTCCAGCTACTGACAAATAATGTGGTACTCATGAGATAACTATGTGTAAATCAACAAACAGCAAAGTGAAAAGCTCAGTTTCCTTCAAAATACAACATAACACAGAAGTATTAGAGCGAGAAAGCCAGAATCATGGAGGAGTTGGAACTGTAAATGTTCTCTATATGTATCTATGATTGGAACATGCAGCCACTGATACTTTTACTAGATGCTAATTATGAAAATCGTAAATTACATTCTCACTATTTTCATGTTCACACTGTGCCCACATGACTATGTCCAAGTTCATGTGAACTATTGAAAGTAATAAGTACATTCTGATTATATGAGTAGTTTATTTTGTCTGCTCATGAAGCTATAATAAAATGCACAGCTTTGACTATTTGACTATAATCAAAAAATTGTTCTTTATAGTTAAATTTAAAGCTGCACTGTGTAAGATTTTTTGTTAAGATTGAAGGAAGTAGCATTACTGAGTCAGGAAAAAAACAACACAAAATATGGTGTGTGCACTCCTGCGAGTTTCCCTGTAAAGCATAAAATAATAATTTACAAGTATCATATTGTATCAGATTTTGCAGAATTTTTTTTTTAGACCACATTATTTGTCTTTACACATTAACATCACACGCACAGACTCAAAAAGGATTTCCAGCTTAATGTTCAGGTAGATCAGCTACACAAAATACTGCAATTACAGTACATGGGGGGAGGAGCTAGGGAGGAGACTGAAGTTTAGAAAATAGATAATGGGCAGAAACAGAGGCTCTGGAGCAGTTGAATGGAGCAGTATAGTTCTAAAGTTGACTGGGAGTCTGAGGCACCATGCTTGTGGTTTCTACAAAAAACATTCAGTGCTACTTGGAGAAGAACTTATCCCTTGCAGTGTTGCTAGTCGTGTACAGAATTGAATGGTTGCTGTAGATCTGGCAGAAAGGCTTCATTCATTAATTTTATCTATGTTTCAATTAAGGTATATATGCTACTAAATTTCAAAACCTTTATTCCCTTTTGTCTCTTAAAAGCGTTTCACTTGTAATCAGATGAATTTACAGTGGGTGAAAATAGACTGCAGGTTCATTTTATCTAATGGAGCTTGTGGTAATTATAGAAAAGCAGCTTTGCTCCATGCAAGTATGCTCACAATACAGTGTCTTATTTTCAGCCTTGTCATATTGACACAAACGGCACATTGGGTTTTGTTCCTCACAGGTTCTTTTTCAGTGCCTTTTGGCTCAGTGTCTTCAGCTCAGCGTCTATTCAATTCAGAGTTTGCAGTTGTAACAGAAACAGTAATATTATGCAACCATGCAACCATGTCTGTTATATTATTACAGGAAAATAAAGAGTGCATGAGTGCTCAGTGTGAGCTCAGTGGAGAGTTTGAGAGCGTGCAGAGTAGTTCAGAGGCCTTCCGAACAGAATCAATTGTGTAAACAGATGAAATGATCCACTGTTTTTTTCCTCTTTTTTAGATCATGTTATGACATGCCTTTTTGTGTTCTAATAGCATTATACACTGTTAGAAATAAAGGTTCTGTGCAGGTACATTTTTTGTTTATCAAGGTACAAACAATGTAAATGTACCCTCAAAGGTACAACAGTGGTTTTAGGGTCCAATTGTGCACCTTATATAAGTTTTTCCAGGTGAGAAGTATGTATTTGTACATTTTCATAATCTATTGTTTTAAAACAGAACAATAAAATAAAAAGCGTGGAGATGAGATGGGGTGTGTGGAGTCAATACAACTCCAATATAATATAATACAATATAATTTCAATGCACTTTGGTACGATTTTGCTCCCTGACTGAAAATACTGAGATATACCCTTGAGAGTACCACCCCAGTGACAATAGGGGTACTGCCCTGTACTGTACGATCCATACTTACCGTGATGCTCAGTAAAGATAAACCACATTTTTACGTATTTTGTGCTATGGCAATGTTACATTTAGGCCTTATGTGGTTTAAAGTTGGCAATTTGAGTTTACATCCTCAATGAATTAGCAATGATTTTTGGCAGTTTGTGAGATGATAATGCATATTTAAATGGAAGAATTGACTGATTTTTTTTCTTTTTTCTGCTTAATTCAATCTTCAAGTCACTCAGAGTGGTTTGATGTGACATGCTCGGTTTTAGAGAAACTTGCTGATTCAGAATTGTTCACAGTGGTGGTGACAGAGTCCAGACGTCCAGAGCTTTTAAAGCCTTTAAAAGTGACCTCACGGAATGTTACATCAAATGGTTACAAATATGTTCCCTGCTGTCTAAAACATAGGTTCAGTTTTGGCCTACAACATAGTTTTTGAAAAACATTCATGGTGGAGAGGTGCATGCAGGGTGTAGTAAGGCAAAATAGAATTTTAAATTTTTTTTAGATTTTCCACTATTTTACCACGATCAATGTTACACATAAAAACTCAGAAGACGGGTAGGGTCACTGGTCATTTTGGATGGTAAAAGAAATGGCTGTATTTGTGTCATAGACATAATGACCCCTGGTTTCAATCAAATTTAATTAAGCATTCAAAGATAAATCGTGCCACAGCCATTTTTGTAGCTCTGAAACCATTCAAATTAGTTATCCAACTAATAAATGCCATTCATCAAAGCTGGAGTGGAATGGTGTAAATATCAGGATGTATAGGCACCTAGTAAGTAGTTAGGTCAGATTTGAGGATCACATTTCAGTATCTGTGGTATCAGTAAATCCCTCATTTCAAATAGGAATATATGCAGGTACTTGAGTAATATGTTAACTATTTAAGGTGCCATTTTTCGAATATTGAAATCATAATTTGAATCATTCGTTTCAGCACAGGAAACTTTCAGTCTTAATATGACTGAACAATGTTACAGTTTTGCTGGTATTTGTGAGTGTGTATATTACACGTTGACAAGGATGCATTATCAAGAACATGACTAAGAAGGAAGAGACACTTTCACTAACTTGGCTAACCACTCTAGCTAATGTTACCTAGGAGCAGGAACAGTGAATATATATTGCTCTGTCCAATAACATGTTGGCATATCCTCCATTGAGGAGAAAATATGTTGTGTAAGATGACCTCATCAGCATCCACTCTTGTGCTAGTAAGCTATATTTTACCTCACATCTGAAGAGGCAGCCTCTATTCCTCATCCAACACAAAAACTACTGATTTCCCACAGCATTTTGTGAATAATTAAACATTTCCAAACATATGCTATACTTTCCAAACATGCTGCTAGATTTTTGTGTTATTGATATTTTAACCTCTTAACACCAGAGTGCTAACCTTTAAGATAGGACTCCAGTCATACGTTAATTCTGGATTTCAGCTGAAGTACTTTTTTTTCCTTTGCCACAGTTAACCAGATACCTGTTCAATAACTTTTGTGGGCACTCAAATATCAAAATTTGTTGGAATGCACATGCCTAATTTAAACAGTTGAATTATGCAAAAATGCAGAATGTGCAGAAAAAATTGATGGAATTCCCCTTTAAGTTATTGTATTGCTCTCTCTTACAGTAAGGAGTCCATTGGAAACCCATTTAGATGCTATTTTTTTGCCACATGGTGTTTTTTTTAATTAAGTATTTTCAAAGCTTTCCTGGTGTATCTTTTTCTATAAGGTATCTTTGAAATGCTTTGTGTTGTGTGTTATTCTTCTGTTAAGACCTTTTTATTGGCCTTTTCACAAACTTGGATCACTTACAGTTAACTTGGATTACTTATTTACAAACTTTATATATATTTAAAATAATCAGTGTTGCTATAATTGACACTGACAAGCCCTAGTTACATTTAAAACTTGTCTGTAGCTGTTGACGAAAATCACTCAGTTGTGTTTTTACTCCTTTGTAGGGTGCAGGTGGAGTTCTATGTGAATGAAAACACTTTTAAAGAGAGGCTGAAGCTCTTCTTCATCAAAAACCAAAGGTCAAGTAAGTGAAACCCTCTATGAAGTTTATTAAATCTAAAACTGCAGTTAAGAAAAACAATATCGCGGCACAGACAGAGCCAGAAATAAATGTTCATGGCTAACTGTTATTGACTTTAGTCCTATAAAACTGTCCGCCTAATAGATTCCAGTATATTAAAGGTGGAATGTTGCGTGTGTCCAAGGGCAAAGCATTCTTTAGTGTTAATTTTTTTTGTCGATCTGTTGACACCTTGAATCAGTGAAACTGCATGTATGTGTGGGTGTTCTTTTCTGCTTTTAGGTGCCACTTTTCATGGGGGCTCACAATAGTTAATGGGTAGGGTTTGTGATTTATACAGAAGCCACGTCTCTTATTTGCATTCTGTGGCCCAGAGCTTCTACAGAAGACACCCACAGCCCCCGACAGCACTGCTGAAATGCCACGAAGAATGCCTGCTTATTTTAGCATTGATTAGTGCACCTGCCTCTTTTGAACCGAATACAATATTAGATTCAATATAGCATGGTGTTAATTAAAAGCTGTGCCACCAGCCACCATTATGAATGCTTCCCTTTAAGCATTTGTTGTTGACAACCATAAATTTAAGCGAAGTATTTTTCTGCTCTGATTTGATGGATAGGACCTGCAGTAAGAGCATTAAAGAGATTTAGAGATTTAGAGCTATTGAGGGGAAATTAAATTGGCCCCTCTGCACATTCACTTCACAGAGGCCCAAAGGGTTTCACTGCTTTTATTCTCACAGTGCATCAGAAAAGAGGAAAAACAGGAATAATGACATTACTTTCTGCAAGACTCATAAGTGCTAAATAGTCAGACTTTTAATTTGAGAACTGAAGATAACTAGTGACATTTGGTGGAAAGACATATTTGGTTTTGTACAAGAGTGTGTATTTGAATTTGATTCAGCTGAAATTTAGTCAAACGTATCTATGCTCTGTCCATACATACATTCCTGCAGCAACTATTCTGAGGTTTGACAGGATTTACAGAACAGTGACAAAAATCCCAACCAATTTCAGTGATAACAACAGTGGGGGAAATAAGTATTCAGCATGTCAACATTTTTTTTTTTTTTTAGAACTATTCCCAATACAGCTAGACCAGACAATAACTCAGAAATCATAACATTGCAATCCAAAAAAAATTATAGGCAATAAAGTGGAATGACACAGGAAAAAAGTATTGAACACAGTAAGAAAGAAGCACTAGCACTGGGTTAGTGCATGTACTTTGAAAAAGTACTTTGAAAAAGGGATACCCACCTCTGAATAAAAGTAAACACATCATTTGTCACCAAGCTGCAGAATAGCACATGGCATTGGTTACCGACAGATTTCTCAACTTCTAAATGTTCCTTTATGTACCACTGTGGCCATTATCCACAAGTGGTAGGAACATCACTCAACCATCAACCAGCTATGCAAGGGACCTCCTTGCAAGATCTTCCAACTGGGCAGTCAAAAAGTTAGTCAGAAAGGTAGCCTAAGAGCCAAGGACCACTCAAAAATAGCTCCAGAAAGACCTGGAAGCAGCAGGTACAGTGGTCACAAAGAAAACAATCGCCAGTGCACTCCAATGCTACAGTCTCCATTCGAAATCACCCCAGAAGACTCCATTACTAAAGAAAAAGCTTGATGAAACTTGTTTCAAGTTTTTTACAGAACATTTGGAGAAGACTGTAGATTGATGGGAGAATGTAATGTGGTCAGACAAGAAAAAAATGGAATTTTTCCACAACAGTACTACACTCCATCTTTGAAGGAGAAATGGCTCGACTTTGAGGTAGAAGCATCATAGTATGGGGCTGTTTTTCTTCTCATGGTACCAGCGGTATCAAAATGATTAAAGGGAAGATGAATGGAGCCATGTACCGGGAATTCTTGAGAAGAATCTGTTGTTATTCACCAGGATGATGAGGATGAGACATGGGTAGACATTCCAGTAGGGAAAACGATCCAAAACAATCCGAAACAATCCAAAACATATTGCAAAGCAGGCTCTCAATTGGTTTCATAGAAAGAAAGAAAAAGTGTTGGAATGGCCAAGTCAATCATCAAACTAAAAAGCAATACAAAATTTCAATAGAAGATCAAGGCCCAGTCCTATTTCACCCCATGCCCCTACCATTAAGGCCATTTACCCCTCCGTTTTGTGCGTTCACACCTAGGTGTAGAGTGTCCTGATTTTTGTTGAGGTAGAGGGGTAGGGCAAAGTGTTAGGGCTACATGGCCCTTCAAATGGAGGTTTTTCAGAGACACACTTCAAATGGAGTCTGCGCAAGCAACCAAAGAAACCCACAAATGTAGCTAAGTATTTTATTAAAATTACGATAACCATTGTATTATCTTACTTTAATGTTGTTTCATTGTATTATAGTCATTTTCTTCATAACAAGCATATAAAAATGCTAGCAGTATGCTGACGTTCCACCTTAAATGGTGCAGCAGTTACATTTTGACGCCTGAGGCATCAGAACTGCTGCACCATTTAAAGTGGAATGGGAAAATTTGAACAAGAAGCTTGTGAATAGCTGACTTCAGCTTCATATCACTAAAGAATTAGGGGTGGGCGATAATTCTTTGAAGGCATATAATTCCCTAAATTTAACTAGAGCCCAGCAGCGAGGTTGCTGAACGTTACCGCTCCTCTGCTATCACTGCAGACTGGCAGGATTTCCCACTGAGCATGAAGTAATGTTCTTCTTTATTTGAGCATTGTCCTATTTCGTAGGGGAAGATTTCAACCACTACTCCTTGTAACTCAGTTCCAAGGGGCAAGGTGACACTCAAAAACAAGGGTTAGGGGTAAAAATAAGATATGGGATTGGGCCCAAGATTCATGTCGTGACCCCCAGATTCTTGAAGACTGTCTGTGTAGAAGAAAATTGTTGATGTGTTGAATAATTTTCCCCACAGTGGTAGCAATCTTTATTTAAAGTCACTACATACACTGTTAGAAATAAAGGTTCTGTGTCGGCACATTTTTTGTTCATCAAGGTACAAACAACGTAAATGTTCCTGCGAAGGTACAACAGTGATTTTAAGGTCCAATTGTGTATCTTAAATAGGTTTTTCAAGGTGAAAAGTAGTAGCAGCTTAGAAAATATAATTTCAATGGATTATGGTACAATTATGTTCCCTGAATAAAGGTACTGAGATGTACCCTTAAGGGGACCACCCCAGTGACAAGAGGGTTACTGCCCCAGTGACAGTTTCATACCTTTATTTCTGAGAGTGTAACATTGATAGTCAGGTGTAGCCTCTTTCTGCAGGTCTGTAGTGGCCATTCCTTCCACAGAATGGAAATCTCTGATTTTTTCACTTCTAGCATTCCTTTTTTATACTTCAGAATGCATTATGGTCTTGTATCAAGATGTTGGTCAGCTTTTTTGGAGATGCAGTTCATTACATGACATTATAAAGCAGACTATGTCGTTTATTTTGTCTTGCAGGCCTCAGAATACGCCTTTTCAACCTCTCTTTGAAGCTGTTAACGTGTCTCCTCTACATCATCCGAGTGTCACTGGATGACCCCACCACTCAAGTCACATGTGCGCGGTAAGAGAACATGAATAAGCTATGCTGTCTCTGTTCTTGAGAGCTAAATAGAGTTAGACAGATCAACCTGAATAATACCAGCAAACTGCTCGAAAGTGCCTATTGTCTGATAATATGTCAGATCAGGCTATGAACCCTCCTGAGGCATAACAGTCCATTTCTCTCTTAATAGCAGACACTAATGCTTATGGGGCAAAGCAGCACTCTGCGCTTTAGCCTGTGTGTAAGAGCAAGAGAAGGAATGAAAGAGTGTGTCAGTGTAGAAATATACTATGACTAGAGCACACACTGCTAGCAACTCTTAAAAGATAGAGGTGCTCTCATGTTGCCATAGAAACCAGAAATCCTGTTGTATGGCAGTGTTTGTAGGAAATCAGGCTGTTTGTGTTTGCAGACTTTAAAATGAACATTGAAAGTTTCAAGTAAAAGGTTTGGGTAAAGGGTTACTGAAGTGTCTGTCTGATATTGTGCTTACAGGAAACACTGCTCAAATGTCACAGATGTGCTCTGCAGTAAAATATGTGCCAACCAGACAGCAGATCCCTCCCAGATCAACTGGTGAGCATCAAGAAACATCTCATTGAAACTTGTTAAACCTTAGACATCAGAGTTACAGGTATCATCAGTGATGTCAAAAGCACGGTATAATGCAATGTTCATTATTTTTCACTCATAGCTTATTGAAACAAGCAGAGAAATCGTGTTTAAAGTGCAGATTCTAAACTTTCAGTCAATGCCACAGTTGTGCCCATCAGCTGAGACATGTTTTGCTTTTTTAGTTTAGCATTGGAGCTACAAGGCTAATGTTGCCAACAAACATCACAAGTCAATAGTCACCAAAATCATTTTCGTACATATATCCCCAAAAATCTGCACAAACCACATCTAAATGAACAAGACCTTACCGTGTCGTTTTAGACAACAGGGTGTTGTGCCAGAATCTCAGTTTTGTGTGAACACACGTCACGCAGGCATGTGGATGCTACAGATTACATAAGTAACTCTTAATTTTCAATTTTCTAAAAGAATATCAGTGTTTATTAATATAAACGTCAGAAATCACCAAACCAATGTTGCGTCTGTACAGTCGTATGAAGTCATATGAGGTTGACATATCTTATTGTGAATTGAATATATTGTTATGTATACAGTCTTATTTTGTGGAAGAAAAAACATCCTTTACATTTTTGCTAAACATTTAATTTACAGATATGCTTATTAAAATGCAGTTATACAAATAATTACACAATTATGTAATAAATTACATTTACATTTAATTGTACATTTTGTATTGACAGATATTAATCTAAACTTTTTTGTTTTGATGTCAAAAAAAGACAAACATGGCAAATATTGGTAGCATTTTTAAGGTTCATAAGGCTACATGACATCTACAGCCTTTCATGTCAACTGACATGAGCCTACATGAACATTTACGAAGTCTTATTCCAACAGGCATGAGCAGTTATAAAGACTCAGCTCTGATGTCAAGTTGACACTTATATTAGCCCCTTTTGAAGTTGAACAGCCAAGACATGTTTGTTATCCATATTTTGCTTCTTTAGTCTAGAACTGGAGCTAGAAAGCTAAGGTTGCTAACAAACCCTAGATGTCAGTAGTCACCCAAGTCTTTTCTGTAAATACATTCTAAAAAACTCTCCAAACCCGCATCCAGATCTTCATTACGGTCATGCAGACCTGTTGGTGTGTTTTAGGACATAGTATGACTTACTGTGAACTTCGAAAATGGACTAAACTTCAGGGTGTTAGCCACTTTAGAGGACAGGGTGTTGTGATAAAACCTGAATAATCTACATACATGCATGTCAAGCAAATGTATGGATTCGATGAACAATGAGGAAATGCAATTGCAAATCGGGGATTGTTATTCTGTTTATAGTGTCAGAGTCGGATCATTAAAATAATGAAAATGAAATGTCAAAAGCACTTTGCTTTTCCACATTAACTTTTTCCAGCCATTATACATGCATGAAAATGTTAATACACATTTTGCATTTAAATTTGAATCATGTCTTAAATAATGCACACTCAAATGGGAAATGTAATACTAAATATACAATTTAATTTTCAAATTTGCATTTGAATTTGAAAAAAGTCTGAAATATGCTGCCATATTTTAACCCCTTAACAAGTCATGGGCTCACTGGCAGGCCCAGAGTTTTATTACACGCTTCTATAGCCTAGGAATAGCTCCATTAGTTTGCATTTAAGTCCCTGTAGTTACTGATTAATATGCCTTAGTATAAAATAAACCTGAAATGGTAAAGGGTTAATGCAGAATGTAAATCAAATGCAAATGTAATTCATTATATAACGGTGTAATTAATTTTGTAATTACATTTAAGTAAGCATATTTGTAAATTAAACCTATAGCAAAACAGTAATAACTAAAGACTATAGACCAGGGGTGTCAAACTTTATCACTAAAAGGGCCATATAAAAAAAAACAAAAAAAAACAAAAAAAACCTACAAATCTGTGGGCCAGAAAACATCTGTGTTTTTATTTGATTGTTAAATAACATTCTGCTATAACCTGAGCTGGCCATTGTCTATTCAACATACGCCATAACACCAAAATCAAAATGAAGGCAGCTGTAGGGAACCTTGAAATATTACATTAATTAATAAATAAATATATGAATAGGCTACAGTACACAACATTATGCACATTACAATAGGCTACATTACACACATTATGCTGCAGTGCATGCTGGGGACTGTAGTGCAGCATGTTGTGAAATGGGCTAATATTAATAGAAAATGAAAACAATTACGTGGGCCAGATAGGATTATGCCTTGTGTTGTGACACATGGGCTATAGACAAAGGGCTAATTATAGCTCAGTCTTTTTGCATTGTTGTCTACATAGTTACTAAATATTAAACCTTAGGATGTGGACGTACAAAGAAACTTAAGGGGTTACAATCACAGCTCATTTTGAATCATAACTGATTAACTGTTGAGTTCCTCTGTTTGGTTTGGAAAAAACTGCACTCTGTGTAATATGTTCTGTTTTTCTTTTAAGGGAGTTGATATTCTGGGTGAACAGAAAGGTTCCTGTATGGGCGATACAGGTTTGTTATTATCTAAGTTTATGTATTGTCTTTGTGACTGCCTACAACAAGAATCTATAATTACCTCAGCTTCACTGATTGTAATTGGTCCCCAGAATACATAAGCTAATTCTTCACTGTCAAACTATAAAAAATGCAGTTTGTTTTTTCTCCTATATTTCCCCATGGTCTAGGTGATAGTGGCCTTAATTAGCTTCCTGGAAGCAATGCTCTTGACATATCTCAGCTATAAGGTAAGAAATCTGCCGTTCTCATTTTCCTCATGGGGTTTTTCTATATTGATCTTGAATGCAGAGGGACAGTTGGGCATATACAGCTAATGGATCATCCCTGGTTCCTTAGCTCACCTTTTCTTCATTGTTGAGTTTTATTTCAGGTTGCAATTGAGCATCAATATCTGTTTTCTTCCCTGTTTAATAATAAACAAAAACTATTCTTCTCTAGGGGCAAACTGTAATGATTTTTCTAATCAAAGCGACATTAGCATTTCAACATTAGCATAACAATGTTACATAATTGCTATCAAGGGGATCGTTAATGATGGCCTGGTCTCCACTAATGGAATATTGAGAGTCAGCGCTTGGGCTAAATGATTTTGTTAATCTATGCTCTGTTTCAGGGGAACATATGGGAACAATTATTCCAAATCTCCTTCATCCTCGAGATGATCAATACAGTACCGTTCATAATTACAGTAAGTGGTTCATATACTGAAATTCCAGATGAGATGAGAGATCGCTACTGATGTTAGATCCATAAGAGATCTGTGCTGTGTGATCCCAAACCAGTCATGAAAAGAAATTATTAAGGAGATGATGCAATTAATCAAGTAACAAGTGGAACTAAGCCTGTTATGCAGCCAGCAGTGAGTTTGACAGGGAACAAATTAAAGGTTGTACATTCTTTTGGAGCAGATGGCAGGTTATTCATTACAAACTCTCTACAGCAGTGAATGTGGTAAACGAAATGAAATGCATTACACTGAACATGTGTTACCTTACACTGTTTGAAAAGCTGTACACTCTAAACAAAAGGTCTAGTTAGATGTTCTACTGTTTGTTTCTGCTTTCCGCTCCAGGGAAAGTTACACCTGGACCCAAACATCCTACAACTCGAATGCTTGTATCTTTACCTTTACAACGTGAATGTTAGTTATGTTCAAAATTTGAGGTGCAATGGTGTATAAAAGGAAAGGAACTGGAAGAACCTTCAGCCTCAAACTTACTTGTGAAGAACACAAGTAAAAAAGTTTTAATGGTCACATTCAAAACCCCCAACCTATCAAAAGCCATCTGTTCACCTGATTCCTTCTTGGTTTTTGTTAATGCTTATACTGGAGAGCAGAGCACAAACTAAACTTGGAAGTTGTTTATGCACAGATTCATCAAATGTACTATTGATTTAATGTGAGTAAAATATTTTATTAAATTGCAAGTAAATATTTTATTGTGCTGATATTTGTTGTTCTACTTTGTAGTCAAAAATGAATTTGTCGCATTTGACACAATCTTTTCAGTGATCATATCTATTTTGATGTATATTTTTATATATTTATATTGGAAAGCTCATCTGGTTCAAACAACATCGAACTGTATCAAATTAATTGTATTTTGTATTGGTTAGCTAAACATTTTAGCAACTGTCGAAATTAGTCCCTCAAGTGCTGGAAACAAAGTTTATGTTTTCATTTCTAGAGAAAACTGTAGGCTATAAATCCTGCTCAAATATTTTTTTGAATTATTAAGCAGAAACCGAAATGTGTTATGGTGTGCCACGCTCTCCCCTACTGCACACTGGTAGTAAAGACACTTTTATGATCAATAAAAGTATGCTATCAATCATTATATTGAATATTCATTATCTCTGCAGATCTTTTGGCCCCCATGGAGGAACATATTTGTCCCCGTGTTCCTCAACTGCTGGCTTGCCAAGTCTGCACTGGAGAACATGATTGTAAGTAATCCACAGCCTCCAGACTTAATCAGCTTATGGAAATATTCAGTTGCACAGCTGGTAGATCAACAATGCTCTAGTCTAATGTCATATTCATTCTGACCAGCTCAGGAAGCAGTAAATGGCATTTAGCTTCATAATTTGCCAGAAACATGAGAGTGAGTCATCAATGATCAGATTTTGAGAATGCGCCAACATTCTCTCTCCTGGCAGATGGTTGGGTCAAATGGCCAAGGAGAACTTGGCAGGGAGTTTGTCCCATTTTGAAACACAGAGCCATGGATACTGGTGAACCACAAAAACCAGACATTAACCAGGGAAATTATACTTTGATGTAATACTTTGATATAATTTCAATTATGTATGTGGTGTTTTAAAAGGCTTTGCTGCTAGTTTTGTACCATCAGAGTTAAAATATATTTAGATGCATACATAATCAGGTGGAGCACAAAAAAAAACGAGCAGGCCAAGTACTGACCCTTGCAGCACGCCGCAATCATGAAGATAAACCATACAGCACTGAAAGCTGTAGCATTTCTAATATGCTTTTTCATCAAAGTCAGAACTAATTAAATCATCATCTGTGCTATGAAAATGTTGAGCTTAGTTTTCCATTCTATTGTAAAGAAAAGTACTGAAGTCTTGGAGGTGTAGAACATTAGATACTTAATATAGAATATATTTGTTGGAGTTTAAGACGGATGAACTGAGTTGGATTACATTTATGACATTTAGGCGTTCTGTGACGTAGGTTACAGTACTTGCATACATTTTTGAGTACATTTAAATCATAGTAATTTTACTTTTACTTGAGTTTAATTTTAAAAATGTAAAATATTCAACTTAACTATTTTATTGTTTAATATCTATTATAAAACTTTTCAAAAATCACAGTTAGCAATTAGCTGGTAGGCTAAAGGATCTTAGCTCTGTAGGCTGTGTTATGTTATTACTGTATTATATGTCTTTATTCAGACTGAAGCTTTTGTTTATATATTCTATTGTAAGTGCCTGTTCACTAGTTAACTAAAATAAGGTAAAGTTCAAGGCAAAACCTAGATCTTCTTTGTAAAACTAATATTAACTTAAAATGAATTCAAAGTGATTAAGTAGTAGTTCAATAAACAATTTAATTACTCTTGCTTAAGTGCTTGTTTTTCTTTTTACTTTTACCTGTATTTAAGTGAATTTTTACTACAGTAGTAGATGTAATTACTTAACCTGATCTACCCCTTCCCCCCTCTGTAACCATGACAACCACCACGAGCAGTGTCTGTCTGTCTCTTGCTCATCCGCGGTTTAAACACCAGTGGACTACTTGCTGATGCTTGTTGCAACTTGATGATCTCACTCTCAAGAGGGCAACTTCTGCTGATTATTGTGATAAGTGTATCATATCTTTAAGATAAACTGAAGGCCAGGAGGCAGCCATGCACACAGCCTGCGAAATGCAGGCCTTGGGGTTCTAAGTGTTAATTAAGACTGGTCTCTGTAAATGTACTATAACAGGAACACGGTGACCAAGCTGTTTTCTCCCCCACAGAACGATCTTCATCGTGCCATCCAGCGCACCCACTCTGCCATGTTCAACCAGGTTCTCATCCTCATCTGCACCCTGCTGTGCCTGGTCTTCACTGGGTGAGCTCTTTGATCTGCACTATACTCCGTTCCGCTCCAACCTGGTCTCTGTCATTTCATTATTTTTTATGGCAAGTTTGCACTGAATGGGGAGGCGGTAGAGACAGCCGTGCAAATCAATAATGCTAATTCAGTCAAGTCCAATATTATTAACACATTATTTTTTGTCACAAGGCTATATTACTTTAGGCATTGGATTCCAGCAGGGTAATGTTTTCTTACTCTGGAGGATACTAACTGTGTGATGTAGACCATAATTTTGCCTCTGATCAAAATTAGAATTACCAACCTGTGGAGAGGCAGGGCTGTAATTTCTTTAATGGTCAATTTTTTTTCTGAAGAAAAGAAGAGGGCCTTCCACCTCACACTTTTTTACGAGCTTTTCCATGAATTTTTCTAACATTCTTTTCTAAAACTTTAAACAGGGCTTGTGGGATTCAGCACCTGGAGCGGGCAGGCAAGAACCTGTCCCTGTTTGACTCTCTCTACTTCTGCATCGTCACGTTCTCCACCGTGGGGTATGGAGACGTCACCCCGAGAATCTGGCCCTCACAGCTATTGGTGGTCATCATGATATGTGTGGCACTTGTGGTACTGCCGTTGCAGGTATGACAGGACACTTTCAGTAAAAAGTCACCTGTTTATACACACTGTCCAATAAAAGTTTGCTTGCAAAAACCTAACATTACATAGAAAGCTAGTCAGATCATGCTAGTTTTTTTACAAAGAGAAATCTACAAAACTGAAGGAACAACTGACAAAAATTACCCTTTGTGCTTACAACCATGGATTTTTGCGGTTATTTCATGAACCTTTCAACTTTTGTCGTATAACAATGAACACATGATAACACAGCACTGTTTAATGCAGAAAACACCACGAGTCTTATACAGCACTGATCTAATGGCACCCCTCTTCTCATGACCCCAACAGGCCATAAAACAGCTAAACAATAGTAATTTGGGATTCAGCCACATCCATACTTGACAAATAGTGCACTACTTGGCTATAGAGGGTAGAATTTCTAAACTTCCATAGCTAGCACACTATTTAGGGAGTACAGAGCCGTTTAGGATTAGCCTGGGTTTGACGAAACTTCTGACTGAAACACAGACATTGAAGTGTCTCTGAAGCCATTTAAGTGACATTCTTTAGACTTTTATATTGCTGTTTTACAGTGAATCATAAGTCTGTGATATTAATAATGGAGTTGTTTAACCTGTTAGCTGTCTTTTAGCCTGTTATCCAGCTGTACTTAATTTGTAAATGACTATTTATAAGCTTTTGCTTGCAACCCATGGTTTTATCTGCACTGATGAAAGTATTGTCCATAATATGCTGCGAATTACCAACTTTTTTGGCATTGGCATTGCCAGGATTCCAGCTCGCAGTGTCCCAACAATAGAGCAAAACCATAGACAGTTGTCGATGTTTAAGTATATCATGGCAATACAGGCTGAATTGGCAGATCTGAATACAAAACACCACCTTGGTTAGTATAATAAAAACCTGTAAAATATATCCAAACCTAACTTTTAGCATGACATCAATCACCTTCTTTATAAAGAGAACTATTAAAAAAAAAAAAGAAAAAAGAAGAAAAATAACATTGGGACATGGTTTTGGGGGTGCGGTCACTGTGGTTGTAGTGGGCTGGCCTAGACAAAAGTCCAAGGCTGACCTTAGCTCCCGGGTCAGCCTCGCTTTATATTATTTACAGTGTCTGCAGTTTTTAACATGACAATAATTAGACCATAAGGCATTGTTAAAATAAAAGGTTTGGAGTTTAAAATGAAAATCTGAAATAGAAGTATAAAATTATATCAGCTGATATTATCCGTTTTTTTTTGTTTTTTTTTGAATTTTTAACCCCTTATAATAGGTTATTGAAATTTATAGCCCTTTAAATATGCTATCAGCTATAAAATGGTCAAGTCAGGGCACTAATTAAAACCTGTCGCAGGTATTTTTTTAAACAATGAAAATCTGAAACATTTCAATTCCATATTGTGCAGAAGGAAGTTCTGGATCTATATTAATCTAAGTATGATGCTAATAGCCTCTTTTTGCTGTTGTACCAGTTTGAGGAGCTAGCATATCTGTGGATGGAAAGGCAGAAGTCTGGTGGGAACTACAGCAGACATCGTGCTCAGACAGAGAAGCATGTGGTTCTCTGTGTCAGCTCCCTCAAGATTGACCTCCTCATGGACTTCCTCAATGAGTTTTATGCTCATCCCAGACTGCAGGTACATCTGTGAAACATCACAATAATTTTTTTTTTTGCACTACTTGTTGCTAATACTTGAATTGACTCTTTGCAAAATCAGTCACCTCAAAATGTTCTTTTCTCAGTCAAGGAAAATGTCCTCAAAGCAAGCCTGCAATGAGAAGGACAGCGGCAGTAAATAAGGCAGAATTATTAGACTAAGAAATGCTGGAAAGGTGTTACTGAGGAATGTATAATACTTGACAAATGCTATCCTGATTATCTGGAGGGTGGTGCTGTTTTTGTTTCATTTCTGAAGCAGAAAAAGTTTTGGATTAAACTGTGTGAAAATCCAAACTCACAGCTCAGTGACCAAACTAAAGGGCAGAATTATACTGGCTCTAAAGTAAACTAAACTTTATCTGCGGTACTGCATTAGCTAAAGTCATTTTACTGTGATGTCTAACAATAAACAATGCTACAAAACAATGTTTAAATCAGTTAGCTAACTAATTAGCTTTTCTTGGCTTACCTGTTGTCAGTTAGATTCATAAATCAGACAAATAAAAGCACTGTACAGCACTCACATTTGTGATTTAGGATAAATGCAAATTTCAGACACATGCAAATTTTCATACATTTGTCGTATATCTTTGCTGAACATTTTGTAAGGCCAATTTATTTTTAAATGAAAAATGTTTTAAATGTACTTATCTGTGTGCTTCTAAATTTTATACTTTATGCTACTAGACTTTTTAGTTTTCCAGTACAAGTGTTACAGATGCTACCAGAGAAGAAAGTTTGTCGGCCCTAGCAATAATAACAAGGGGACTTTCTCAGAATTTTGTAAATACTTAACTGTTGAAGCTAGTGTTCTAGCTAATATATAAACAATTCACATATTAGCAAAATTTCTAGCTTGAAAAGCTGTGTAAGCCCTTTGTGTTTAGCATGACTTCCTGTGTGTTCCTGTATTTCCATCATGGGTGTATATCCCTGACATCATAGTGACTCAAAAGGGTTTTTAACCGTCTACGGTACATAATATTACAAACAGATTCAGGGAATCTGGAAAAACCTCTGTGTGTAAAAGGCAAGGCCAAAACCACAGCTGAATGCCTGGAACCTTTGATCTCTCGCATGGCACTGCATTAAAAACTGGTATGATTCTGTGATGGATATCACTGCATAGGCTTGGAAATACTTTCACAAACCATTGTCAATAAACACATTTTGTCACTGCATTCACATATGCAAGTAAAGGCTGTATTATGCACAGCCATTTGTAAACAACATCCGGAAATGCTGCCAACTTCTCTGAGCTCGTCTGAAATGGACTGATGCACAGTGGACGCCTGTGTTGTGGTCTGACAAATCTACCTTTCAGATTATTTATGGAAATAAAGAATATTGTGTTACTGGGCTGAAGAAATAAAGGACCATCCAGACTGTTACCAGCATAAAGTTAAAAAGCCAGGGTCTGTCGTGGTACAGGGTTGTTTTAGTGCCCATGGCATGGTTAACTTGCACATCTGTGAAGGCACTATTAATGCTAAAAGATATATACACATTTTGGAGCAACGTGTGCTGCCTTTTAGACACTGTCTTTTTCAGGGACGTATTTCAACATGACAGCACTTAGAAACATGCTGCACATGTTATGACAGTATGGCAGAGTAATCAGAGAGTGTGGGTGCTGCCTGCCTGCCTGTCTCTTATTCAAAACATGTGGTGCATTGTAAAATAATACAATAAATACAAAATACTACTATGAAAGCCCCATGCGGTTGCACAGCTGAAGACTTTCATAAGAATGGCAAAAAAAAAGGTTTTCAAAATTGGATACCCTTTCAAAACTGGATTGGTTTGTGTCTTCAGTCCCCAAATGATTATTAAGTGTTGTTACAAGAACTGATAATGTAACACAGAGGTAAACATGCTCCTATCCCAACTTTTTGGAATGTGTTATAGGCAACATATTTGGAATGAACATATATTTACAAAAACACAAAGTTCATAAGATAAAACAACAAATATTGTGTTTTTGTACTTTTTTCAATCTAATACTAATAATGTTTAAATGTCTAAAATGTCTAATGTTTAAAAACTCTAAATACACAAATATGACTATATTATTCTAACTGATCACCATTGATTCTAACCTACAAAAATGATTGCAGTTGAATCACCACCTTCAGACCCTGCATCATAGTGCATTTTTACTCACTTATTTTCCATAGTTATTTTTACTTTTAAATAATAATTTGTTTGCAGCAATAAGAACTTTACAACCTGCATTGAAAAGCTTCTGTCTGAAGGCCCTCATTTGTGAACTGATGATAACTGTAACTGCCAGTAATCTGGAAAATGTCTGAAGTCTAATGTCTAATGTTTATTGTTCTCCTGTGGATATAAACTAATGGTTTTCTGGTTAGTAATGTTGGGCCTATAGAAACCGCTGAATGTATCTTTCCTTTCTGTAGGATTACTACGTGGTCATCCTCTGCCCCACAGAGATGGACATCCAAGTGCGGCGAGTGCTGCAGATTCCTTTGTGGTCTCAGAGGGTCATCTATCTGCAGGGGTCTGCACTGAAGGACCAGGACTTGATGAGAGCCAAGTGAGTCAGAGTGCTTCTCTAGCGTAAGGGAGTGTTCTGATATGGTAAACGCAGAGTATACACGGGTGTGCTGATACGCATTCTGAAGAAGATATTACAGTGCTTCAAAAATTTGATCAAAATATGCTGTCATTTTTAATGCAGGGGCCACTGAAAGTACATTTTATCATTGTGTTTCTGTTCTGAATTGAAGTTATTTAATATTCAGTCCAGCTCCAGGCCTCAGATTTCACCTGTAGGTTTTGACACTTTAGGTGTTTGAAATGCCTGATGGGGAAAGCCCCTCGAGGCCTCTGTTTGACAGGCTGATCTAGCCAGTGAATCACTGTATCTAAAGGCCATTGAGTGAAGCTCCATGTTAAGGGCTATAATGTGCTCAGCAGCCTGTCAGGATTAATTCACTATTAACATCTCAGTGAGAAACCCAGGACCTGAAGTCTGATCATTTGGTCTGTCTGCTTAGGATAACAGCCTGGAATATGATTATTTGGTTTATCTTCTAAGAATGAAGGCCTGCAGTTAAAGATTTGATCTGCTTGAAAAGAACATGAGAAAACCATGAAGAAAAAGAACACGAGTGCTTTCACTTAGAAGGCTTAGTTGGTCTGGGACAGCGGTACAGTGCTCAAAAGCAATCTTGTTACACTTTTATCAGCATTATTTAATCTGTTAGTGTATTAAGGAAATTGTGCTTTATTATATTCTAATAAATAAATAAAATGCTAAATACTAACCTACATAAAGGAAAGAGACACTAATGTTTGTCCCACTAATGTTTGAGTACTTTTACTTAAGTTTTCAGTTAATTGCGGGGATCATTTTGCTGGTTGTTAAAACTTTATCCTTATCCTTCTTGGTCGCGGGGGGTTGCTGGAGCCTATCCCAGCTGTCAGCGGGCAGAAGGCAGGATACACCCTGGACAGGTCGCCAGTCCATCACAGGGCAGACAGACATACACATTCACTCACACACTCACACCTAGGGGCAATTTAGCATGTCCAATTGGCCTGACTGCATGTCTTTGGACTGTGGGAGAACCTGGAGGAAACCCACACAGACACGGGGAGAACATGCAAACTCCACACAGAAAGGACCCTGGTCTCCCGGCCGGGGAATCGAACCCAGGACCTTCTTGCTGTGAGCCCTAAAAATTAGGGCTGCTAAACAATTAAAATAATTCATTGCGATTAATCACATTCTTATTTGCTCAAATTTGGCCCTAAAGAAACATTTTTTTCTTTTCATTTTGAAAGCAGTAGATAGTTGTATGAGTGGCCAAATTAAGCTTTACAAGAACTTCTTAGCTTCAGTTAGTTTTTCAGCACTGATTTCCTATGAGAACAGCAGTGGCTTCATGTTCCAACCCTTGCTCTCATGTTAACTTTGAGACCACTGCTTTACTTTTTAGTGATAATGTTTTATCTAGATTGTAGATTTTGCTTTTTTATATATAAAATAATAAAAAATATTAATATGACAACTGATTCCAAACAAGAAGTGGTAGTGTTCCTTTCTATGAGTAGCCGTAATGTCAAATGAGGACATGCTCTTTATAAAGTCAGTGTTTCCACTACTGGTGCGAGAGTAAACTCTTTAGGTGTGACCTGCATCCTGCATGGCGTTTCGACACTTTGGAATATGAAAAGTGTCTCAATCGCTGATAAGTAGCTGCAAATGGATGCTTTGGGCTACATCCAGAAAGTGTTTAAAATTTTTGGAGAGGCTATTACATCTCTGCTAAAAAAAGGCCAGTGCAGCTTAAATAGTCACGACCCAGCTTGTTTCTTTTGCATTATTAAACCCATGCTGTCAAAAAATGTCATTTTAAAGTTCCAGCACACTGCTGAACGCCAGTCGAATACAATAGGAGGTCTCCAATATTGGTGACTGATGACATTTACAGAAAGCCTGACATGATGTATTGATCTCATAAGCTATAGCATTCACTGTTTATTCCTCACCAAATCCAGCTGGCTCTGCCATTCTGTCCCCCAGAGCATAATTGCTGGTTCTACATTTGGGTCTGGAGGCTTAAGGTAAAGTGAATTCATGAAGCAATTGCAATTCTGTCAGTCTAATGGACTTTGGGCAAAAGAATGGCCCCTTCGCAAAAAGTCATTTTTCTCTCCTAAGCATTAAGAATTGCTCAATGTTCCAGATAAAGTTTTCTCTTTCATATGACTGCTGTATGTTTCAGAAAAGCTTCATTGCTTAAAATCCAATACAACTGTCTTTACATTTGCCTTCATCTGCAAGTATAGTGCGAATCTAGACAGCTCTGGACACTCATAGTGGGAAAGAAGAGAGAATGATGTTGCTTATAGTTCTGTCAATACTTTTCAATCACAATCATTCTTAGAGATGTGTCCTGCTCTGGCCACTGGGTTTTTATGGATGCCCGTGTTATGGCTGGGTGACACTGGTTCCACTGGTTCCACTGGCCCCCAGGAGAAGCCATTATGGTGCAATATTGGCCTTCTCTACTGGACCAACACCTCTAAGGAACAGGGCCATAAATTACACAGACACTCGCAGACAGAGCACATGTGATCAGATCTGCCTTCAGATATGCACTGTCCATTGGAAATTATATATGTATGTATATGTATGGCATGAAAATGTAAGACAGCATTTTTTAAATAAACTTTTCCTTAATTTAAAAAATTAAATTCATAATAAGTCTAAATCTTTCAACTCACAAGTCAAAAGGCATCTGCATTGCAGAAACTCATGGCAATGAGAATAAAAATACAATACAGCGTGCAGCCCTATTCGACAGCTTTTCTTTTCCCATATAAAAAGCATGTACTGAAAATCATTTGATGGTTTAAAGGTTTGAGTGGTGACACCACAACAAGGGGATACGATGTGTGGGCTTGTGATTGTCCCCCAGGTAGTACTGTCCCAAATATCGTCACATATACCAGTGTTATTTTGCACAAAGTAAACCTGGTTAGTTTCTGTGTTTTTGTTATTGCAAACCAACCAAGAAAACATGTTTCTTTGGGTTAAAAGCTAGATGTTTTGATGGCCAGTGTACACATTATGTGCTGGTAACAAAGCTTTGCTGAAACTTAATAATGGTACCCTATCTGAACAAAGAACGGTTTTCAGACTGCTGGTTAATACGGCCGATCAGGTTGAGTGATATTGAGGTTGATCAGTGTGATTGCTGTTGAATAGAAGGCTGATTGATACAGAATAATGTCTGATCAGGTTGATTTTGTGTCCCTGTAGGATGGACGATGCAGAGGCGTGCTTCATTCTCAGCAGCAGAAATGAAGTGGACCGCACCGCAGCTGTAATCAGACTTTTCATCATATTATTACACACACACTCTTACAGTAAAGCTTGATGTGTTCAGTCACGATTGTAATGACGGACCAATCAAAATCAGTAATATTTCCTAAATGTTGGTAATGCACTGAGCTGAGGTTTATTGAGCTAAATCCCAACCTGCCTTTATATTGTTTTAATTACATAAAAGAACTTTAAAAACAAAGAAAGAACTTAAACTAACTGTTGTGATTGGGGAAGACTGCTTTGCTAAGTAAAGGTAAAGAAAGGTTGTCACTTATTGTTTTAATTCAGGACCATCAGACCATCCTTAGAGCCTGGGCAGTGAAAGACTTTGCTCCAAATTGCCCTCTCTACGTCCAAATCCTCAAACCTGAAAACAAATTCCATGTCAAGTTTGCTGGTGAGTGATTTTTCCCTCCAAAGTTGTAGAAGTTTAACATTATAGTAGTAGGTTTTGCCATTCCTTGTCTTTTTTGTGCAACACTTTAAAGAACACCTTATCATGGAAAACAAAATTATTCTTGAAAACAAAGCACTAGTATGTAAATACTGTTAAATAATTCACTCCTCACTCTATGCAGTCCATATGTGAAAAATGAGCTCATTTGAAATTAATTGTTTTTGTAGGGTCACAAAAACAAACACATCTACATACATCCTCCTATTAAACCTACAGCAGCTTAGCTTCACCCATTCACAGTGAAGTAATAAATAGTGTTTTAGCTGTTACTGGGCAATATGACAACATTTATCATTATCGTGATAAATTACATCACAGTATGCTTTTCTGAGCACACTATAGATATCATCAGTACTTAAAGAACATTAAACAACTATGCTTGATTAAAAAGAGAGCATAATTATGCCTGTTTAATTTGATTTAGTGCAGCACAATATATGGAATGTTGAATACAAATTATTGTATTAATAGTTATTCATAATATTGTTTAAATGTGGAACTACTTTGCCTTTTCTAACTTAATCAGATGTCAGAAAAAATACAAATATTAAGTATTCAGACCTTAGATTTTTACAATGATTATGTTATGATCTATTTAAACTCAAAACATGAATTGAGATAGTAACAAGTTAAACATAATCATCATTTATAGGGTACTTTCTATTGGGTCTGTCCCTAAACCCTAATACTTAAATTTCAAATTTCATTTGTAAAAATAATGCTTATAATGCATTTTTTTTAATATTGGTTTTTAAACAATCATTTAACTTTCTTTGAAAGTGAAGTTCAGAAGAAGGTTCAAAGAAATTCTGTCCCACATTTTCATGTCACTACCAAAACAAACAGTTTTAGTCCATAGGCAGAGCCTTATTTTAGCCACACCCCTGCATTATAAATTAGGAAGTGAGACTGCATTCCTGTCCCTCATGGGCTGCATCCAGAAACCCTGAAAGTTACTGCTTTTGCATACTGAACCTCCTCCGCTCCTCTGTGGCCTGAAAAACGATTTTGTGATGCCGTCTTACAGGGCTGTTCAAATACCAGCGGAGACAAGAGAAGCTGCTTCAAATGGCTTCAAGCACAGGATACACGAGTGTATGCTAGGAAGACTTTTACAAATCTTGGAGTCATATCACTGCATGCACACCCAGAGAGCACAGACAAACATGAAGCAACCCAACTATAATTCAACCTGCGTTTTCTTTGGGTTTATATAATTACTTGTGTTGTGTATTTTGTACCTCGTGTAAAATACATTGTGATAGGCTCATTTCATCAATAGTCAACATCAAATTTAATGATGCTGAAAGGAATCAGTTGTCTTATTTTCCCAATTTCTGTTTGTTCTCTCCATTCTTCCTGCTCCTTTCCTCTCCTCAATGCCTCCTTTTTTCTGGGGTGGGAAAGGAGCAGTAGGAAGGGAGGGTGAGGACAGGAGCAGTAGCATAAGTTTCTGGATACAACCACAATGAGCAGTTAGATCCCATTGTTTTGAAGTAAATATGTCCCAAAGTCTGAAAATCAATGTGTAACGTTAAGAATAGCCACTACCAAAACACACATTTTCTGCAATTAAGTAAACTTTTTTGTGTTTTAATGAAAAATATTATGATTTAATGTGTATACAACTGTTTAAAGCTATGTTTGCTAGTCATGTACTGACTGTGTTTGAGATCTTCTTAAAATTAGCTACAATTTTCACTATGGAAATATTTGGTAATGTTATGATTTTTTGGTACTGTTAAAATGGATTGTTCAATCATTTGTTTTAATAAAATAAACATAAGTAAGGTATACGGTCACTCAAAGTCAAAAGAATTTTATTCTAAAGTCCAAGTCAGTTAAAAATCTAAAATGTGTTTTCAGCTCTGACTTTGAACCTATTCAGTAGAATGATCTATATCAGTCTTATATCACAATAAAAATAGCTTGCTTAATTTTAAGGGATAAAGAGGGATTGGGAAATGGTCATGAAAAAAATGAATTATGACTGTTTTTGGTATATAAAACTACACTAACGTTTAAGGGGACCTCATAGGAAAAAATAAAAACAAGAGAAATGTAGAATCTGGTCCTCTTAATGTACTTCTTGAATGAATCCCTTGAAAGGTGCCATATGAACAAAATGTATTATAATCAGTACTCTATCTTGAATGTATTCTAAAGTGTCTGGATTGTTTTTTATCTAATTATACAACTACAAATAGATCATGTGGTGTGTGAAGAGGAGTTCAAGTACGCCATGCTGGCTCTGAACTGCGTGTGTCCAGCCACATCCACCCTGGTGACACTCTTGGTCCACACTTCACGCGGACAGTGAGTATTTCTGCAGAGATTTGATTTCTTTCATTCTCTCAAGTCAGAGTGTGATTGTTCTTGCTATTTTCTCTCACTTGCTTCTTTATGTTTTCACTGAAAGGAAGAGCCGCTCAAAACATTTTAATTAAAAGTTAAAAGTGCCTCTATCACACCACATAATGGAAGATGAATCGGTGTTGCTGTGCACTGCTGGAAAAATATAATTAAAGGAAAGCAGTGATCTTAATTCACCCACCATCCATTCAGCAGCACAGAGCACAGTGATACTCTTCACATGGCTTCATTTAGCCAGTTTTTAGGTGCTGATTATATATAGATTTTGAGTCTTCTTGGCTGGACAGCTGGAGAAGTAAACATCTTCCTACAAGGTCATTAGCTTAGAACTTGTGAAGAAGAGTAATGACTCTTCATGCCTGACCTGCTCACACTTTTTGCTCTCTGGTCTCCACTAAGCAATTATAAGCAAGGGGAATTGCGAGGTGAATGAGAAGAGAATCCCATTATAGTGACTGGTGGTCATTTTTCAGAATTAAACTGGCTTACTGCTCAAACGAAGTTGCTGAGCAAGCCATTCAGGAGCATCAATTTTACAAAAAGTATATTTCACCAAAGAATGCTAATGTGCCTAAGCTAACAGGAACAAGTTAGCATTATTAATTTGCAAGTTGGTCAGTTCTCTAGACTTACAATGTTAATATTTATGGGAGCATTTATAGTATTTATGGAAGATTAAAAGAATCTGATGCCACTGTAATTATATAACAATGTAATTAGATATTGATAATTCTCAAAATATTTTTTATTATGTAAGATACACCTGAATAAGCCTTCTGTTTTCTTCAGGGTTCATAATGCTATTCAGACTTGACTTCATTCATTGACCTGACCTTTAGTCAGAAAGTTATTCATTTTTCAGTGTCAGAAAAAAGCAGAAAATATATTTATCTGAAAATCACACAGAAGCCTCAACAACTATATATCAACATTTTTAGTATTTCATGTGTACAGATTTTGCCTTTATTACAACGTGTATTCTTTTCAGGAGACTTGGTTTCAGAAAGAAATCTGCAAAACGTTCGTAGCTCATTAGTGGCTGGTTGCATTTTTTGTTTCTGGCAATCCAAGTAATCCCAAACACATTCATTGGTGTTCAGGTCTGGGCTCTTGGATGTCCAGTCCATCCTTAAAGACTCATAGTGTTGAGTTGTTTTCTCACAGTGGAAGGATGGACAGAAATGCCCCTATATTTTTTTCACATCTGAAGCAAAAGTGGAGCTTGATTTTCTCCTGTCTAGTACTGCTTATCTAATAGTGACAGCTTTGGTCTACCAGGTCTTGTACGGTTGTTAGGAGTCACATTTTGTCTTTTAATCTTTTAATGATTTTGTTTTAAACTCCACTTTTGGAAACTTCTGGGTTTTTTTTGCTTATTTTCCTTTGATTTTCTCCTTCCTTATGCAAGTGGATTATCTAATATCCTTAGAAATCTCTGCTGAAAAAATGAATTTGACTTAATAGCCATTTTGTCTGGAAATGAAATAAATAAAGGGTGGTCTCTGACTTTTGTGCAGTAGTGTAATGCAGATAGAAACTATTCAAGTAATTATCGATATTAAATGATAAGGAAAAATCTATTGTAAAGACTTTTGTCCATATTGCACATTCCTGAACTACAGGCAGCTGTAACCTGTTCTGGTATTCTACTCCATTGTTCTTCTGTGTGAATTTTTCTGGTGTTGTTTTTGCAGGGAGGGCCAGACGTCTCCAGAGCAGTGGCAGAGAACATACGGCCGCTGCTCAGGTAATGAGGTCTACCACATTCGTCTGGCAGACAGCAAGTTCTTCGGGGAGTATGATGGAAAGAGTTTTACCTATGCCTCCTTCCATGCACATAAAAAGTGAGTGAATGAGGACTGGCAGTGCTGCCATTTGGATTGTTTTTGTTCTTGCTCAACCACAGTACAGTTAACTTTTAGTATGATACATTTGATGTTCCTGATATATATCATCTGTATTTTATAATAGTTTTCTTGTATTGGTGTGTTGATCTATAGTAATTACTTGCCATAAGCATTTCAAATGTTCCTGACATACCGTGCATATGATAAATAAAACCTTGATTTTGATGGGATCAGATTTGATCAGATTTCAGATATGCTTAAATATATGTTTGCCAGTATGATATCAATGCCTTATAAATACAAAGTTTGCACTTACTAGCTTAGTTAAGACAGTATGTGAAATGCTAAAAAAACAGAACACAGTGATTAGTAAATTCTGTTTGAAGTACAAAAACAGGTATTTTATGTTTTATCTTAGGATTTTTTTTTGTAAACATACACAAAATATATACTATTTAAAGCCTGCAACATGTTCCAAAAAAGCTGTGACAGGAGCATGTTTACCACTGTGTTACATCACCTTTACTTAATAATAGAGAAGTGAAGACACCACTTGATCCAGTGTTGAAAGCAGATATTTTTGCCATTCTTCCATTATAAGTCTTCATATGCAACTATATGAGCATTGTCATATTTTCTACTCCAGAATGAGCTTCTCCCATTGAAAATATGATAAGCCTAGTACCCACATTCTTTGATTCTGCAGCCATGCTGTTGTAACACGTTACATTTTGATGTTGTCTAGAAGGCAGCATATGGTAACAATCTGGATGGTTCTTTTCTTCTTTGGTCTGGGGAACACAATGTCCATTATTTCCATTAACAATTTGAAAGGTTGACTTGTCAGACCACAGTACGCGTGTCTGCTGTGCATCAGTCCATTTCAGAGGAGCCCAGATAAGTCAGCTGTGTTTCTGAACATTTTTTACACAAGGCTTCTGCTGTATGTAGTATAGTCTTGCATTTGTGGATGTAGCAACAGACAGTGTTTGCTGACAACGATTTGTCAAAAAATTCTAGAGTGTCTATACGTGGTGATATCCATTACAGAAGCATGCAAGTTTCTTTTTAATGCAGGGTCATCAAAGGTCACAGGCATTTCACAAATTGTCCTTTTTGGCCTTGCTGTTTATACACAGAGATTTCTCCAGATTCCTTCAATGTTCTGATGACATTATGCACCGTAGAGGGCATACTTACAGTCACTCATTAAGGTACACATACAGTCACTCATTAAGGAACATCGTTAAACTGCTGCATAATTTGTTGGCACATTTTTTTGGTAAAGTAGCAAGCCTTAACCCGTCCTTACTCAAAAAAGGCTCTGCCTTTCCTGGATGCTACTTTTGCACTCAAGCCTGATTTCATTACCTGTTTAAGATGTTTTTTGAACATTTCACAGTGTTCGTAATCTTCAATTACCCCTGTCCCAGCTTTGTGTTCCAGGCATCAATTTCAGAAAGAGCGTATATCTACAAAAACCAATGATGCTGACAAAACATTAAAAATTTTGACTGTATTCATTTAAATCAGTCAAAGTGCAGTGACAAATCACTGCTTTCTGTTTCATTTGTATTTTACCTACTGTCCCAGATTTTGGTTCATACTTAAAACTTAATGATGCTTCAGATAGCAATGTGTGCCAGTTGTTAAGGCATATTGGATCCCAAAGATGAATTTAATGGAGCAAAATCTTAAAAGGGCAGTTGTAAGCATCCACAGCTAAAAACATATCTATATTAAAGCCACTAAATAACCTGTTTCCTGTCACAAATGCTCTGGTAAAGTGCACTTTTTTTTTGTGTTTATGTGTGGTCTCTCTCAGATATGGAGTATGTCTGATTGGTGTAAAGAGAGAGGACAATAAAAGCATCCTGCTCAACCCCGGCCCACGCCACATCATGGCCGCCACAGACACCTGCTACTACATCAACATCACCAAGGAGGAGAACTCCGCCTTCATCTTTAAACAGGAGGAGAAGCACAGCAAGGGACTGCCAGTCACAGGCCTGTACGACGCCCCTTCACGCCTGCCTGTGCAGAGCATCATAGCCAGTATGGGTGAGTGGCGAGCCCATAGCATGCAAATAAGTGCATCCAGTCAAATTATGTCTCCTCCAGTGGAGCGTACCATGATCAAGAGCCAGAGGGAGGAAACTTGAGTGCAATTTGTACCTTCAGGCACAGGTGCAGCTACTTTCCTTAAATGAAGACCACGCTAATTACAGTATGTGTGCTTTAAGTAGATGATTGGTGGCGCTGTCACTTCAGCAGGCTTGAACACAGTCCCTAAAAAGTGAGTGCAATCATCCATCCAAATCCAGTTCCTCTTGGATAATTCCAAAAGTCCTAATTTGCCAGTGTCAGTGCAACATGCTGGGTTTGCACAGAGCCTCCAGCATGTACCAGTTATCCATCTGTGGTGCGCCATATTTCTGTCCTGACACTGACTTATTGGCTAATTAGGATGATTACACAGATGCATTCGTACCAGCGAAGAGAGCGAAATTGAGTTTGTCATGCATGCATAGTAATTCCAAAGCCATGTTTATGTAGCAAAACTGAAAACTAACAGGGAAATCATCCAAGATACTTAACAAATCCAGCTTTAAAAACACCTGTGCCCTTGGAGGAGCAAATACATCCCACTCCAAACCACCCACACCATAGGAGAGTAGTTTGTTTGTGGTATAACTATTGAAATGACCTGGGTAATGCTTTCTTTTGCTGTCCCCTACATTCTAAGCATTAATCAGGTAAGTATGAGATACAAACTCCAGAGTTCTAGGTAATCATTCTAGGTAACAGGGATGCTGAGTTCCAAGACAGTTCAACTAAATTGCACTAAAATGCCTTACAGGTGCTAACTATTAATTGGGTAAGTGTGAGGTACAGTCTCCGAAGTGCTGTGTAACTCTTTTGGGTAAAAAAATAGTGAGTCTTAACTAAATTATATTGAAATGCTCTATTAAGGTGAAAAAGAGCATAGTAACATTTCTAATAATCAAATAATAATCAAAGAGTGACAATATGGTAAGTACAAACAAACTCGTACTAAATTTTACTAAATGCCCTGTGTTTGAGTAGAAACATAAATCAGAAAAATCTAAGTAAATGATAAAGACCCAACAAAAACATAGAAGGATGCATTTTTTACAGCCCAGATTTAGTTTTGTTTCTAGGTAATAGACAAGTACTATATACAATTCCTATGTCTCTATGCTGCCTTTTTAGAGAATTTTCTCATTCAATCAATCAATTGCCTCTTTAATTTTTTTTTTAAACTCTACGTCGACCCTCATTTACAATGTAGTCAGACCAATACAGAACATATCAAATGCTAAAAAGTAATAATAATCAAAGTAGTAAATAAAAAAATAGTCAATAAACTAGTAAAATTACAACAATATAGTAACTTAATAAATAAGATAAAATAAGGATGAATAAAAAATGTAATAAAATAAATAAAAGATGTAAAACAATAGCTTGGCAATATTAAAATAAATAAAAATAGAGTAATAAAAATGAAACAATAACAAAAACAAACCAAAAATCACTTTAAAAGTTAACTAAAATCAAGTAAAACAGTTGCAGGCTGATCGGAGTTCATTGAGTTTCCTGCTTGAACATGTGAAATTTAACATTGTTCAACTGTTGGGTTACGTACTGTCAGTTTACCACATTTGACACACTTAACTAATTAATACTTAAGACATTTTGGGTATAATGGTGTAATTTAGTCTGAAATTTACCATTATGTTAGTCAAAATAGTTGCCTTCTCCATGGGTTTTTGTATCTTGCATTTTCCTGGTTAATTCCTACAACTTAAGGGACTGTAAAAGGACGTGTACCCATGACCTGTGGGTGTCTGTGTTAAAAAGTTTTTTGTGGTGTATTAACGTGTGCTTGAAATATTGGATTTGCATGGATGGTCTGATGGTGTGGGCTTTTGCTGCATCTTGGCTGATGATGTTTTTTGTTTGTTTGTTTTCACTGTTTCTTTTTCTTTGTTGTGGTAAAGTCGATCAGTCTACTTCGTATGGTAAGTCTGTGCATGTGGCCTAGCATTAGAGATGAGGCTAAACCATGAGACATTGATTTATAACAGTGCTTCTCAGTCCTGGACCTGGTTACCAGATGAACTGCAGGATTTAGTGTTTTCCCTGTTGTAATATTGTTGTTCAAGAGTGTTGAAAACACCAAGAAGTACAGAGCATGTGGTTTCCAGAAGACTGACTGAGAGCCACTTGTCTACAATGTCGGAGCATTTTCACACTTTGAGCGTTTCTGCATTTTTAATCATCTCAGACAGCTGAGTTATGTTTTCTTGTGCACATATAAATACGGCAAACAAACTCAGACATGCTAAATGGACCCAAAACCGAACTCTACTGCAGTTCATTATCTAGTTCAATTGATTCGTACATTGTGAAAAAAAAAAACAGTCCCAGTCTGCTTTGTGTTTTATTTTATGGTTAAAGCACCTCAAGGCTTACTGTACATACACAGCCACAGCAGTACATCTTCTCGCACTCAAGTCCAGTCCCAAATGGCATACTGACAGTCCTGAGGTTCACAACTTCACTTGCACGCAAGGACCACGAGGCTGTGGGTTTCTTGCCCTATAGGTCTGTATGTTGTTGGCATCATCAAAGGGATCCATTTGGGACTGGACTTTAGCAGGTAAAGAATGGAGAATCAAGAGAATTAGGTTTTAATGAGTTTGTTCTCAATAACAGCATTGGCATATTAAAGCAATGGTGAAATTGCTGTAATGCAGTCAAATGGCTTATTGCTTTTCTAACATGATAACACAGAATGTAATATACGATGCAATAAAACACAACACAATAGTGGAGTTATACATAAAAATGATCAAAGATCATTTCATGAACAATGGTAACAGTTTGGCATGATGGTATTTTCAACCAGTCAGATCTGTTATATAATGGACTTGAAACACTACCCATAAGTTACTCAGAGAGGGTCTGAGTTCTAAACAGTAGTCTGAGATCTCATGAGTACTAAAGAGGACCAGAAGAAGAACTGAATCCTGTTTAAAGTTTGCTTACTTTGTGAACACAAAAAGGTAATTTGCAGCTGTTTGCCTTTATGTTCACCTTAACAGAACTGACTTTAGTTCATTTTAAAAAACTGAATGTGAGAACACCTTAAGTGTAAATGTTAACAAAGCATTTTTCATTTTGCTTGTCATGAGATGCCATTTCCAACCTGGGCTGAGTTTTAGCACAAAGCATTTTAGAACAAAGATGATTCTTAAACGGTAGAGCGAGCATCACACTGAAAACTCTCTTTAACAGTTAAAATGATCTGAACACTAAGATGCTTTTGGAAACCTGGGCCCTGCCTTTAGTTTGATTAGCTACAACAAATCTAGCTTGATAATGTAGCATTTTAAACCAGAAACCTAATGCTTTACAGCATCTCTAAACAAAACTGTAGCATCCATAGTGAATAATTTAAGTATTTTGACAAAAGAGTGGTGTAATACAGTTTTTCATCACATTGAATTGGCTCTTTTGTAAATTGTTCAACCTCATGACAGCAGCTACAAAAAGAAAACAGACTTGGAGGCTGAGCATGGATAGGTTAATTGGCTATATATAGATAGGTGTAGTGGTTCTCAGTCTGGGTCTTGGAGAACCACTGCCCTGCACAGTTTAGTGCTTTCCCTGCTCAAACACATCCAATTCAACTCAGGAAATCAGTGTTGTGTGTTATGAGCAGGGAAAACCCTAAAATGCATAGGATTGAAAAACACTAACGTATATTATCAAGACAGCTATTCTACTTGCATGTTTAAGTAGGTAACCATGCAGTTTCATGCATCTGCTTAGAACATTTCTTTTGATGGTGTAATTCATTTTATGAATATGGAAACATTCTCACCTCTTCACATGCAGATTTCAGTTGCAAAGCCCTTAAAGTGTGATCCACACAGTCTGAGGTATTTAGCAGCAAAACGCAATTTCACGCCCAATTTCAGCAGCAGAAAATCCATCAGGCGCTTCTACCCCTGTTCTCCTGTTTGTGTACCTCATCATCTTTCTGTATGTACTTACAGAAAGCAGTAGTAGGGCATATTCCACCTTGCCTCTCCCTTTCCTTTCCTCTCCCTGTCTCCCTCTGTCCCGCACGCCTGCAGTCTCACGGTCTCTCAGTGTGTCCTACCACAGGCACGGTGGCCATCGACCTGCAGAACCCAGACCCCCCGGCTGATAACAGCAAGCTGGCCCTACCCACAGAGAATGGGGCGGGCAGTCGAAGGCCAAGCATCGCGCCTGTGCTGGAACTGGCTGACTCCTCTGCCATCCTGCCCTGTGACCTGCTTAGTGACCCATCCGAGGATGAGACCAACCAGTCTGACGAGGAAGGAGTGCCCGCCCCAGAGTGAGTAAAGAGGAGATATTCAGAGGAGGTCACTGCCTGTTCCAGACAGAGGCAGAGATGAACTGAAATTTTAAGACAAAAAAAATTGTTATTCAAAAAGTGGCAATTTTAACCAAAATTTTTCAGCGAACTGCATTTGAAATTTTTGACCAGGGTTGTAGAGAGTGAAATACCTAAAATCCTTGCAATCGCTCATAGAGCAGGGGAGTCCAATCTTATCCACAAAGGGCTGTTTTTTTACTGCAGATTTGCATTCCAACAAAGCAGAAGCACACATGATCAATTATTTGAAGAGTGAGACTAATTAAATAAACAAGTGGAATCAGATGTGCTCTTGCTTGAATGAAATGAAAATCCGCAGTGCACTGGTCCTTTGTTGATTAGATTGGATACCGCAACATTGTTCTTAAACTGTTGGATTATTTGCTGACATATTTTTTGGCAAAGTGACGAGCCTTAAGCCATCCTTGCTCATAAAGAACTGGGCCTTAAACATTATTTTTTATGCATTATTTTTGCTTAAATACATTTTTGAAATCACTGCTTTATATTTCATTATATTTGTATTTCACATACTGACCCATCTTTTCTGGAATTTAGATTTGTAAGTAAATTTAAGTTATTTGTAATTAATTTATTTAATATAAAAAGGCAAATGAACAAATTATTATTATTGGATTTCAGTTTTTTTAGCACAGTGTATCCTAATTTCCATTGTAGCACATCACTAGGCAAAAGTGTGTGTTTTTTTATACCACTGAGCTCTATGTGTAGATGCAGTACAGAGATGAGAGAATGGTTGGGATAATCTGAAGAAATGGGTATAACTGAAGAAACTGTACTGATGCTTCAGTACAGGTAGAATGAGGATATTTCTATATACAGAACCAGTTCAACATCACCCAGCACCATCCACTTACACCTTTATCCACATCTTTTGTTTAATATGATAAAAGGGTTTCTTATTGTAAAAGGCATAACACTGCAGGACATATAACATGATAGAGTCATAATAAAAACCTTCACTGCGGCAGTCATGTTGCACAGCACTCACAGCGTGGGCTTACCTCAAGCAGGGTCAGTGCACACACACGTGCACACACACAAACACTGCACTGTTGATAAGAGTGTTCAGGCAAGGCTCTTACGGAGCCCCATTGAGTCGTCCTCGCCGCAGGCGGCTCTTCTGCTGTGGGAGTCCTGAGCTTTTCACTGCTCTGTGATGGAAGGACTGGATTCACACAAATCTGTGCTCTGCCGTGCCGGAGAATTCATTCAGTGTGCCAATAGTGCTCTCTAGTGGCAAAGTGTGAAACTTTCTAATAAATGCAGTCTGAAATCATTTTCATCCTGCTGGTGGAATTTTATCCTGATAGTTCTAACATTAACAGGGCCCTAATGTTCATACAGTTACATCATAAATCTTATAATTCAGTTGTTAACCCTAAGATCAAGATGTGAAGTACAGAGGGGCCTGGGGGTCTGGGACTCCCTAACCTGACCTCTTGGACCTTCTAAATGTCTCTAAACTACAGTAACTACTGTGAAACTACCATCATCACTGTCACAATGAAACCTTGCATTCTCTAAAACAATAACTTTTTATTGAAGGAAAAAAAACACTCCTAATTTAGTTTATGTCCCTGGTAGCCTGTCATGATGAAATTTTAGTTGATGATTTAACTGCCATCAAAGTAATTGCAATTAACATTTGAATTGTCTTTTCTTGTTTCTTGTGCACAGCAATTCATGTACATGCATAAAGTGCCAGACTGGCTTCTCAGTAATAGCCATATGCAAAAGTTTGGGCACTCTGGTCAAATTACATTTTGTTGATTTTCTAAGTGAAAATAAGTAACACATCTTCTACGGAGAACACACTTCTGCACATTTTAATGTACAGTTACTGTTTATTTGCTAAATTTAACTTATTTGGGGAAAATGTTCAAAAAGATGCTTTTGCCTACGACTATGTTTATGTAGTAGCTAACACTGGTTGTATTGTCGAAATGATGCACTACACTACTGCGTGCACGTACTTACACTCAGAAATGTCAGTTACGCAGAATAATGTGTGGAGTAAAGCAGAGCTTATTTTTGTCTTTAGAGTAAAAAGTCAAAAACACTAGTTCTGCTAGCATTTGCACTAAAAATGTAAGACTCAGCTACATAACTAATAACCATGATGTGTTACAAAGAATACATTTACTGCTTGCTTTTATTTACATTCATTTGCCTCAATCCAGTGCACAAAATTACTGTTTTGCTTGCTGCAGCATAATATGATTGTGAAAGGAAATGATTGCGGTCAGCTGAAAAAACTGATCATTTCATATAACTGCGATCGTTTCAAATGATTGCGATTATGTAAAAATTGTGAGAGGCGTAGTATCTGGTCATATAAAGCACAACTCTTCATATCATTTAAAAGACTACATTCTTGTTTTTGAAAACTTCCATCAAACAAAATGACTTCTGTCAGCTTCTGAAACACCTTCTGAGTAGGCAGGGAAAAATTCTCCCACCCCCACCTGTAAATAAGCAAAAACACTCAGCTAGCTCAGAGACCCTCCCTGACAGTGGTTGCCTCAGAAAAAACATCAACAGTGTATTGTGATTTCTGAAGAAATTGAAGGATATGGAGACATAGATTTTTCATGTTGGTGACAGTGTTAATACTTTTAAAATATAATCTCTTCTTGACCTCTTGCTTCACGCGTCTTTGTTTCTGTTCCTCAGATATGTAAAAGGATATCCTCCAAATTCTCCATACATTGGAAGCTCACCAACTCTCTGCCACCTTTTACAAGAGAAGGCTCCATTTTGCTGTCTGCGTCTAGACAAGGTGAGCTGAGTTTTTCTGCACTGCTCTTCAGAGTCATATGAAAAAAATCAGACACTAATGGGAAAAGCAGAACCCTTTTTATGTGGCAAGCGCAAAATGTACAAGGAATTTCTGTTGGTGCTGGTGTCAACTTTTACTGGCAAAGAACTTCTTGTTTTCAGAAAAAGCAGTCAATACCTTGTGAGCTAGTTAGAAGAACAAAGGTTTGGTTGGACTGATTAGACAAACCAGATATTGGATAATAACTACAATCAATACTGGGCTTCTAAGAGAACTGGTTAGGAAATGGTTAAACAAACACATTGACGTACAGCCATATGCAAAAGTTTGCACATTCCCGGTTAAATGATGGTCTACTGATTTTTTTTTAAATGAAAGTAAGTTAACAAATCCTTTACAAACTTAAATATATTTGTCTGCTAATCTGGTACAAACTTTCTGTTTATTTGCAGAGTTTAAACATTTGGAAAAAATTAAAAATATAAAATACTAAATGTATTATGAACTTTTGCACAGGCCATATTTTATGTTTTTTTGTTTTGTTTTTTAATGTTTAACCAGGAGTGCCCAAACTTTTGCATATGGCTGTCTGTACATAAAATCACAACTTAAATGTTATTTGTATTTAAGGTAGTATTAGTGTTTTTATTTGTTTATTTTTTCAAGAAGATTTTTGCACTCCAGATATATCTCACTGGTGATGCATTCAGGGACAATGACTTTTGTCCTTCATCTTATTAAAATCTTTAGTGAAGATACAATCATTGTTGGTGGTGCTGCAATATTTTCTGAGTGAGCGAGAACAGAATTCAGATCACTAAGAGCTCATTATTGATATGTTTCATCAGAGTAACAATAAAAGGTAACTGATGTGTGAAAGATATATTTACTTGCTCAGAATGTGACACAAATAAAATACAACTCTAGAAAATCAGTTAAATCAAATGTTTATGTACCAATATAAATCCAACATGCAGACATCACATTATTAAAGGAGAACTGTAGATTAATAGTATAAATAAGTACTTTTTGTATAGGCATTAAAGGATTAAATTTAGTGTAGTGGATATAAACATCATAATACACATATTAATAATTTATTATTTATTAGACATGTAAGGCACACAGTTCTCTGAATCTTAAATATTTAAAGGTAACTTCTTAGAATGCATGTCTAATCATATTGGACATGATTTAACTTTACATTGCCTTTCCCTCAGGGGTGTCGCCATAACAGTTTCGAGGACGCCAAGGCGTACGGCTTCAAGAACAAGCTGATCATTGTCTCTGCCGAAACGGCAGGAAATGGCCTGTATAACTTCATCGTCCCGCTGCGTGCCTACTATAGACCCAGGAAGGAGCTCAACCCCATCGTGCTCCTGCTAGATAATCCGTAAGAAAATTTGCTCATCATAATTTTGCAGTGCAGAACTGTACACGTGGCACAAAAGACGAAATCTACTTTAGTGCTGGACTTTGCTTTGACTTTTTGACTTTGACTTTGCTGTTTATAAAACAGACACAACCTCCAGACACATTCATTCAACTTTGTGATGCAGCAACATTATCTGCCAGCATTTTCTCCTCACATGGAAACAAGAAATGAGATGATTGTTATGGATTGCAGTTCTGTTGCACTCAGAACTGTTTAGATGCGTCACGAAGCACACAGCACCCTGGATAGATAATCCATAATGGTTCACACTCATCATCAGAGTGTTTTTCCACACTGTTATCTGTCAGCGTGTTGCTGTCGTAAAGCAGAACGAGTTCACGCTCATTAAGTTTCAGACTCTGAGACTGTCACAAGCTCTCGAGGACCACAAGGGTTCTACTCTCTTTGTTCCCCATCACCCTGGCGACGTTTCTATGGCAACGTGCAAATGTTGTCAAAATGCATTTGCAAGCGTGGCGATCGAGGTTCGCATAAGTTTTAATCAGGAGAACAAAGGCTTTCCATGCAGTTCCATCAGGTGCTAGTATTCTCAGACAGAGTGCAGGGGAGGACGAGGGATGGATTGTATTGTTCAAACTGCTCTTTTTCTTCCTCCAGGCCCGATAATCACTTTCTGGAGGCCATCTGCTGTTTCCCTATGGTCTACTTTATGGCCGGCACCATAGACAAGTAGGTGTTTTCTGTTTGCCAGTTATTTGACTGTCACATGGTAACCACACATGCATACAGTACAAAATACAGTCGAAAAGGTTTTCATAATCTAAAAAATATTTTGATCAAGGCTTGAAATTTATAAATAGAAAATAGAAAATATAAATAGAAAAGTTGATGCTTATGACTGAATTAGTTTTCAAACCAAAAAAAGACAGAGACCACCCTTCATTTATATAGTTTCCAAACAGAACAGCTGTTAAGTAGAGGTTATTTGTTTTTCAGCAGATGTTTCAGAGGAGATTAGATACAAAATAATCTATTTGCATAAAGAGGAGAAAAGTCAATGGAAAATAAGTGAAAAAACAGAACTGAAAATTTGCAAATCAAACAGAGAAGCTGCCGATGTTCGCAGAACAATGGACTGACCACCCCTAGAGTCCATATCTCAATATCACTGAAGTTGCTTGGGATTATTTGGATTGTGGGAAGCAGAAAATGCAACCAACCTGCAAGGCTGAATCTTTTGTGGAAAAATATCCTTGTAGATTTCTTTGCAAAACTGAAAAAATCTCCTGAAAATAATGGAAGCAAAGAGACAGAGTGAACACCCTAAATACTGAAAAACTGATATATTTAATTGTTAAAGCAATTTTCCAGCTTTTTTCCAGACACTGAAAAATAAGTAATTTTACTTAACATTATATTTTGACTAGAAATTATATAAATGAAGGGTGGATTTTTTACACAGTAATGGGAATATTAAAAGTAGTTTTCAGCAGCCAACAAATGCTCGGCACAGGTAGGAAATAGGGCTCGACTAATCTGTCCTTAAAGCTCCACAGATTTATCGCATCAGCAGAAATCTTACTGACAAAGCACCAATGATGTCTTCACATTCAGGAATGTAATGATAATTTGAAGAACAATCAAACTTACTGTCAGGAGCTGAGAGGCACTAATAATTCATTAGAACACGTTTTCATAATTGCAAAAATGGGAATTTATGTGTGCCACTGTGGACTTGTTGACACTCCTTAAAGTGAGTTATAATACTTTCTTTTATAGTGGTTGGATAGCATAATGAGCAACAGCCCTGCACCACTCGTGGGAGAGCAGGGTTCATTTCTTGCACTTTTGATCCATAAATCCATATGTGTTATTTCATAGTTGTAATGTCTTTACTATTGTGTGTTGAATTGTTTTTGTAGTTTGGATAATTTGCTGCAGTGTGGGATTATCTATGCTGATAATCTGGTGGTGGTGGATAAGGAGAGCACCATGAGTGCAGAGGAAGACTACATGGCAGATGCCAAAACTATAGTTAATGTTCAAACCATGTTTAGGTAAGTAATCTTCTTCAATTATATAATCAAGCAGAATAACAGAAAATATGGAAATAAATGTATTTCTGTTTATTATGACTAACGTATAATGTATGAATGTATTTGATTGTGTGAATGTGTATGACTTTGAAACATTTTCTGCATGTCTCTGATTCTTTCTAGGTTATTCCCCAGTCTCAGTATTATTACTGAGTTAACTCATCCCTCTAATATGAGGTTCATGCAGTTTCGAGCCAAAGACTGCTACTCCCTGGCTCTCTCCAAACTAGAGAAGGTGATCTTCCCCAACATCTTCCCCAACAAAGCGTACTTTCTCTGCTCTCTGCATTATTTATTTATCCAAATTATTTATACAGCGAACAAGGCTAAAGGCTAGAGACATCTCATTCCCAGCAGGGCCTTATTGTGCATTAAAATGCAGCAACAATAACAGTACATTAGACTGCTATAATAATAACCGTGTTAAAAATAAATGGTAGAAAAGGCAGAAGTAAAACATATGCTGAATTATAAACGGAAGTACACTACACTCTAAAGTCAATGATTTTGAAAATTAATTCATTATCAGCACTTTGAAATAGAATTTCTAGCCTATGGTATTTCTCCCACCTTCCTACAGAAAAGAGATTCAGTTCAGAAAAACATCCCTCATTTTGGAGGACATTGTGGACATTTCAAACATGCAGACACCAGGGGCTTGTCTCACGAAGCAGCTAACTTTAAGCAAACTTTTTTAACCAGGCTTCATCACCACGAAGACTTATGTTGCACATCTAACCTACTCCAGAGCATCTCAAAACAGAATACCACCTTTTTTCATTCTATGGCTGAGATGTAAACAAAGTCATTCAGAGTGGTTTGATGTGAAATGGTTCATTGTAGAGAAATCTGACTCTGATTTCTTGGTGGTGATAGGAACCACAAGGAGTCACAATGTCTACAACACAAATATAGCCATTTTATTTACTATCCAAGAGAACTAGTGAACGTACACGACCCCTGAGTTTTTATGTTTGATGTTGATGGTAGAGAAATAGTGGTGATCTGAAAAAAAAAAATGTATATATTTTGCCTTACAACGCCCTGCATGTGCCCTTCAGCCATGAATGTAAAAATAAATAGATAAATACATTTGTAGCATCAATCATGTGGAAAAAAAAGTGCTTTTCAGCACAGAAAACAAATCATACTACACAGATATCAAGAGTATAAATTAGGGATTACTCCAGTAAGCACAACTGGCAATGCTTTTTACCATCATAAAGGCTCTAATTTATACATATGTACACAGTATGATTTCTTTTTCCTTGTTTGAAAAATAAGATGCTCGACTTCTTATGTTGCTTGCAAATGGCTGTTAACTGAGAAAGTTGTAAAGCTGTTGTAAAGCTGAAACCTAGTCAGAAAGCCTGTCTAAGTTGGATTTCCTTTGAGACAGACCTCAGATAGTGTCTCATTTTACTCCCAAACATATATCACAGTAGCGTGTGATTCGCACAAGATCATTCAGACTGATAATGTGACATAAGAGGGAAGACACTAGCGACAGTACACCAACTTTCAAAGATGCACAGCATGTGCATTTGTACCAGTGTGCCAAAAACCCAGAACTTTGAGCATTAATGTTTATCTTAAAGTCTGTAAAATCCATCAACAAAGAGTCTCTGATTTATCAAAGAAATAAATCATTTGCACTGTTTAGATGAATAAATGTTTCCAGATTTTAAATCTGTGTCAGTGCATTTCATTCTCAAATATATATCACAGCAAGAGTGTTACTGGCTCAAGATTATTCAGATTGAGTATGTGACATAACGCTTCTCTTTGTGTCTCTTCTCTTTTTCAGATAGAGAGAGACAAGGGCTCCAATCTTGCCTTCATGTTCCGCCTCCCTTTCGCTGCTGGCAGAGTGTTCAGCATCAGCATGCTGGACACTCTGCTCTACCAGGTGGGCTGTTTTTCTTTCTGTACACTAAACCACAAGGCCTATCTCTCCTGAACAGTGTGCTGTATTTGAATATTCTTGTAGTGCACTAGGAGAGAAGACACTATGTAAACAGCAGGATATAGTATGATAAAGATTAGTACTAGTAATGTCTATTTGGTTGTCTTGATTTGTGTTTAATTAAAGGAGAGTTCCACTGATTTTTTAAAATGTCTGTATAATTAAATGGTCAAGATGTAGTTTAATGTAAAATGTGCTACCCTAGAGAAATTCACTGACAATGGCAGTGATGGGAACCAGGCATCCAGAAAGTTTAATACATCTGAAAGCCACCTTACAGGAAGTCATTAGATGTCTGAGACATAGTTTTATATTAAGCTTTTGGCCTCAAACATATTTGTTTTAAATTCATTTATGGAGGAGAGGTAAAGGCAGGGTGCTGTAAGGCAAATAGTATCCAAAGATAATGTATTTTTTCAGATTTATCATCAGCATTACATATTACAAAGTCAGAAGACACATGTAAGTCTACTGGTGGTTTTGGATAGTAAATACAATGACTATATTTGCATAAATTTCTCTACAATGAACTGTTTTGCAGAAAAATTAATTGTGAATGACTTTGACCGTTGAATTATACAGAATTTCTGAAATAGCGGTGGAATCCCCTTTAAATTGGTAAGAATAGTAAGAGGCTTTTTATAATCCTGCACTTTTAGCAAATATAAATTATTTTTTTCCCCAAATTGGAAGGCACCTTGGCAGAGGTCCTGTGTTTCCGACAGGTTTCACGTTGAGCGTTTGATACTGTCCCCAGGCAGAGAATTCAGACAGAGAAGCAGTATTGATTTTCTATGGTCTCTGGATTATTCCATGTGCACTTTCTGAGCTTTGTTTCCTTCCATTCTACCTCTCTCTCTCTGTTTCCTCTAGTCCTTTGTGAAGGACTACATGATCCCTATTGCAAGACTTCTACTTGGCCTAGACACTACCCCAGGCTCTGGCTACCTCTGTGTTGTAAGTTTGAACACACGCACACTCAGTTGGTCTCTGTCTTCAAACAAATGATCATGTGAGCTCCTGTTTGGTTGCAACAAAAACTTGCAGCAACACTGGCCCTTTGAGGATTGGACATCCCCTGATTTATACCAACATGACAAAAACATTACCTACACATTAATACTGTCCATTCATCAAGTCCTTCAGCAAAAGCCCCTGCATTTGTGAATGAAATAAATTGCTCTTACCGGCCAGAGGAGCAAATATGCTTTGAGTATCAAAAGCTGTGTCGATCCCATCCCAAAGAAGCACAGGTTGACAGCCTGGTAGGCAGCTTCTGCCAGCTTCTGCTGTTAACATGAGTTGAAATCCCATAGCCCAAATAAATAGAGAATCCACTCATCATGGATTTTTAATATAAAATCTTCAGCCAAGGCAGGTTCAGGATTAACAAAGAAGAACAGGAAGTCCAGTTTTCTCAGTAAGAGAGTTGAAAAAATAATCCAGCACATTTGCCACCCCACACCACAAACAAACTCTCTTCTCCCAGTGCCGCCATTAATACTAAGGTTCTTTAGTGGCCTCTAATGGCCGGGGTTGGAATATCACACAAACATGTAACAAGGTTATATGTTTAACAAGTGGTAAAGTTCAGTTTAGTGTTTAGCTGTTCTACACTTTCTAACTAACTATCTCATATTTGTGTCCAGGAAAAAACATTACCATGCACAGGAGATAATGTGCAAAATATTAGGCATGTATCTTTGTAAGTTTCTGAGATACATTCTTATACAAATTATTCTTTGGTTTGATAAACAACCAAAACAAAATACAGCACGTCTTGCTGACAATTAAAAAAAATACATCTATGTACACTGTAGCAACTTTGGGCCTCTGTATCGCCTCACTGAAGTATATTAAATCAAGAGAAAACTATATAAGTGAAATGTATTTCATTTACAAATAAAGGAAGTATTAATTCCCTGAAAAATGAATGCATCTAATCTCAGTAGATAAAAATGAATAACTAACAAAATTTGTGCCTTTACAAACTACAAATCTGAGGATTACAAATTATTAGGTACACTTACTCTGTATCTGTATCCAAGTATCTGTATTCTTGTTTTTTCAGGGAATCCCTGACTACTTCAAACATTTTGGTATTAGTGACTCTGAGTGGTTCACTACAGGCTTTACTTAGTGTACCATTGATGCTTCACCTGATAGCTAACTTTGCTAGGTAGAGTCTGTAAAAAACATCAAATCCTGAGCAAGGTAGCATTAAGAAATATTGCATTTAATAAATGTATTGTAATGTATTATGTGGTAACATAAACTCTTACCCAAGGAAGAGCCAATCAGCCAAGACATTTTTTATGTCCAAAGTTTGCTTCTTTACTTTTTTCACTGGGGCTATAAGGCTAATATAGCTAAGTAGGAAGCTTATATGATACCAAATAATGTCATTCAGGCTGCACACCAACATCATCACACACTTGCCTCAAACCGTGTTGAGCTTTTAGTTAATCTCAAAAATACTTGCTTATGTGGTTTCTGACACTGTATCTATAAAACTGGACAAAAGTATGGATAAAACTTAGGCTTCAGAATGGTTACTACTGATGTTTTTAGCTCTACACATACTTTTGTTTGTTTATAAAGATTATGCAGTTTAAGGTAAATTCTGATTTCGTTTGTACAGTGCTAACTGGCGAATTAATATGCTCCCATTATTGTTAGCTTCAAATTTCAGGCATCAAACATGTCTGATTGACTACATTTGGGCTTTTGACAATTTGTCAAACTATAGCTTTAACAAGTAAGAATGGAGTGCCTTAAATTAACTGTGTCTTATATGAACTGTTCCTCACCAGCACATATAAATTAATAAAGCTTTCTGGTTTTGAACAGATGAAGGTAACAGAAGAGGACTTGTGGATCCGGACCTATGGAAGACTTTTCCAGAAACTCTGTTCTTCCAGTGCAGAAATCCCTATTGGCCTATATCGTACAGAATCCCACATGTTCTCATCATCAGAGGTAAAGCACCATGGCCTTCATTATTCTGTCTGTTATGATTAGGACTTGCTTTTTACTTGCTTGGCTGATAAGACTCAGTAGTTTAGAGCTGCTTTGCCCAAAATGCTCTTTAGTTGTCTCATCGCATTCGTGCTGCTTTATTTGTGGTCTAATGCTATCTACTTCCAGTCCTTTCCCATTTTAATCTTCATGCGGTCTCATGTTTTGTCCATTTTGTTCATCTCAGTTCAAGGAAGTTTGCAGACAGGTAAGAAAACCATTTTCACCAATAAAAAACTTCTCAGCTCCATTCCCACACTTGTGCTCGTAGGCTGCCTGTGCTTTTCTCATTAATGCTGCAATCAGAAACTACTGAAACCAAGTTCATGTGCTGGAACAACAAAGACAGATAGCAAAGAATAACAGTGATACCACAAGACCAACTAGAATAATATCAGTATTGTACTAATGTAGTACTTACAGTACTTGTCCTAGACTCTTTTTTAAGCCCTTAAACATAAAGGGCCTGTATATGAGCCATACTTCGGTCACTCACTCACATGACTACATAACTTACATAGTAGTTTACCACTAGTTTTTTTTTAACAATTTGTAGTAGTCACTGAATAATAAGTCTTAAAATTAATCACCAGAATAATAAGCCTCATTTTAAGAGGTGATATCCTCAGACATTGTCCTGGCGCAGACTCTGTTCTAGGAACTTTATAGCTATAATTTCCAACCATTTAATAGCAGTGCTGGTTTGCACTATTCTTACTTCTCCACCAGACTAAACATCACTTAATTAACCACTGAACCTTGTTACCATGGTGACAGTCTCAGGTGTCCGTCAACGTGGAGGACTGTGAGGAGGCGCGGGACCGGCGAGAATCCTGGAAAGAGAAAACCGCCCACAGGAACTCGACAGGCAGCGATCAGTCAGAGCATCCACTCTTGCGGAAAAAGAGCATGCAGTGGGCGCGGCGGCTGAGCCGGAAAAACACGAAGCCCCCTAGCCGCGCCGAACGCATCAATCAGCAGCGCCTCAACCTTTATAGGCGCTCTGAGAGGCAGGAGCTGTCCGAGCTGGTGAAGAACCGCATGAAGCATCTGGGTTTGCCCACCATTGGTTACGGTGAGTCAGAAGTATGTTGCATTTGCCATCTGCATGCTCAAATGTGGGGAAAATAACAGTTCGACAGTTTCTGACTGGCCATCTCATATTTGCGTTCAGGAAATACCATCACCATGCCCAGGAGATTTTAGGCCTGTATCTTTGTCAGTTTCTGAGATATAGAGTCTTTAAAAGTGGCTGTGGCCTCAGTTTTTGCCTTAAAATGAGCTCTTTGGAAAAAGATGCAACATAAATAGCTAAAAATGAATAACGTACCAAAGTTTGCACCTTTACAAATTGCAAATCTGAGGATAACGACTTATTAGGTACACTTACTCTGTATCTGTGTCCAAGGCTGCCAGTTGTAATCCCTATCTACTTAATACGTTTTGGTACCACTGACCTCAGAGGCTAATGCAGAGGTAGTGCCGCATCTCCAAAAGTGATAGGGCCAAAAGTATTGTTTAAAAACTGCTTGGCTAAAGTGTGCCAGTGGAACAGCAGCAAGAGAGAGAGCTGACCTTTTCATTCTCTGACTGATAAAAGACACTGTTTATAGTGCCCACTAACTCAAACTTACTTCCAGAGCTACACACAGCTTTATGGGACTATAGCATAGATCATAGAATATCACAAAAAACTGTTTCATGAACAATTATGACTCAGAGTGGTTCATTAGGCTTCACTCAGATAGAGAACTTTGCTATTTAGAGTCTGTGAAGGACATCAAATCCTGAGAAAGGTAGCAATAAGAGTGTGGTAATATAAATTGTGAACAAGTGCAACAATTTGTGCTTTGCAGTTAAAACAATAAATAAATTACTGGATTCATGAGGTGAAACATGAAAATATGCAGGTTTTACTTTTTTGGAAGTGCCTCACCCCCCAGTTGGTTTGTTCAGCACCACACAGTTTCGTTGTGCTTGTGTTAGTGGACGTTTTTCTTATTCCCAAATAAAATCAGCCTAAACACAATCAAAAAAGTGGTGGGACATCGGCCCCCATTGTCTCAGCACCACGAGTTAGTGGACTGATATATCGGACTCTTATATCTCGTGCAAGTGTTATGAATGTTTTTTGGCCTCTTTCATGAGTGACCTGGTTTTCAACAGTGACTTTTTTAGGGGGTATGTAAGATGCAGGATTTAACTAGATGTCTATTTTATATAGATTTATATTCATTTGTAAAGATTGTTGCCAATTACCATAAGTCAACTAAGTATAATCACAGTGCAAAAATAATGTGAGTTACAATTTACAATTGACTGTAAATGTCAGCAGTTTTAGAGCCTATAGAAGAGGTTTACCTCACACTGATATGTCCCTTCACTAGTCCTCCTCCATACCTTTATCCATTATGCCACTTCTGAAGAAAAGGAAGGCTACATCTGAGCGGCTTGAGGAAATAATCTAACATATCCTAGTATGGGTTGCTCACCGAGAATCTTATTAACTTAAAAATAATCAAAATTAAAAATTATATAGTATATATATGACAGTCTGAAAGAATTACTGTGAATGGCATTACTTTTCCCCTTATTCTCACTGTCCTATTCCTGGCTGTTCTTCAGTCTTCTCTGCATCTAAAGCTTTGTTTTCTTTTTTTATTTTCTCTTTACAGCAATATTTAGTTTCAGTAATCTCGTGCATTCAGTTCGCATAAAGCAGAAGCCTTTTACAGCTAAATGATGAGAATACACTGTTGTATTTTAAAGAAAAAGCCCAGAATCCCTGCAACACAAATGTTGTGAGAGTTTAATATTGTCAGAAAATTTCAGATAAGTATTCTAAAAAGATATCTGTGGTTTAATTTTCTTGATTTCTTGTGCATGATCAATTATCTGCTGCTTGCCTGGCCTTGCTTGACACCTTGCTTCTTTTTTCTTTTTTCTCTTTCTACTTTGCTTCCTTCCTCCCTGTGCTGTAGAGGACGTAGCTAATTTAACTGCAAGTGATGTGATGAACCGAGTAAATCTAGGATATTTGCAAGGTAATGCCACAAAACGTCACCGTATCTGTTGACTTGTAACCCCGTTCCATTACAGCAATTAGTTAATTTAATTAATTGTGTAGTGAAGTGCTTTATTTCCATTAAATGCTTTCCATTGTTGAACAAAAGAGATCTTAATGAATGTGTATATGTTAAAGGCACACTCCACCATGTTTCAATATAAGGTTTAATATTTCTCATATGATAAAAATGTTGGCTGAATGTAGTTGGTGTGAGGAAAAAGTGCTAGTTTTTATTAAAAAGATGTTAAGACCAAACTACTGATGGGGGCACTTGTATCTATTCCAGGGTTTTGTTCTCCTAATTTTTTTCATTGATCTTAATGACACATGGATCACGATCACAGTAAAATGTTTTTTTGGACTTGTTGAGCTTAGTATAATTGGCCATTATGAACATGATATTGAAAAATGGTGGAACAGGTCTTTAAGTATGTTGCCTTAAGTATTCATGACAAATACAGACAGCATACCAAAACAAACAGACCTTAATATCTCATATATTATGTAGCGGTGGGCAGTATGAATTATTAATCTATCATTATGATAAATGACATCACAGCACAGTATGCTTTTCTCAGCAGGTCATGGATATCGACAGTACTTAAAGAACCCATACCAACTGCATGCTTTATTACAAAGAGTGGATAATTAGTCCTGACTAGTGTGAAATGTTCAAAATAATTAAATTCAGTTTTGAAGTATTTTTTTAATGTAGCACTATTGGATATTTTGTCTCTTTCAACTTATCAGATCTCAAAAAAACACAGGCTGTGATCGAAATGGATCCCTATTTGCATTGTAGGGCACTATTGAGTATGCTGACCTTCCAGAGTGATTTTGAGAGCACTACAGTCTCCCACAATGTACTTGTAATTCCTAGTGAACACCGCAGAACCCTACATCAGCTGAATATATACAAATGTGCATCGCAAGTCTCTAGTTACTAAGGCAGAAGCATGTTAGCTAACATTAACGGTGGATCCTTAGCCATTGAAAAGGAAACTACAGTCTCTCAACTCTCTGGTGAAACACTTCAAAAAACAACAGCTCTGTACACATAATGTAGTCACTGACCAAGAATTAAAGGAACAAAATGTAATACATCAGCTGTACAAAATCATAAAATGACCATGATATGTTATCAGAGATTAAGGAAACATACTAAGTTGAAATATTGGCTTTTCCGACAACAGTGCTAAAGCTAGTATGTTCTCTTTTGAAATTTCCATTCTGGAGCGGAAAGTGAGCCCATCCACTGCCCATTTCCCAGTACCTTTTTTGAAATGCCAGATATGAAACAAATTGGCAGCGGGCATCATCCCTGGAAGCAAGCAAAAAAACTGGATCCCAACCTAGAAAGCCTCTGCGTCCTTCTAAAAAGCTCCATGACCAGAGACATAATAAAACATAAGTAAATATTGGTGCATTTAAAAGATGGAGACAGCTCAGAGCTCAGAAGCACTTTAAGACAGATGCCAAATTGGCTAATTATTTCCTGAACAGGTAAGCACTGAGCTTCTGTTAGGGTTGGCTCACCATAACTAATTTATCACGGCTAGTAGAGGGAAAATTTCAACATTCGAGTACTCACATTCATACTCTATGGTCCATGTGCAGCTGGGTTATCAAGGCAGGTGAGGCTGAACGTTGGCTTCCTGTTCGCCAGCTTCTTGCTCAGACTTTCCCGGTCCTCCTTAAATGGTGCAGCAGTTACTGAGGCGCCAGAATGTCATCACTTGATATTGTCAAAGTTTAATGTTGTCAAAGTTTAACATTGCGCTCAGGTTCAGTGTCCTCAACCTGGCAACTCATGTGAGCTTCGAGCCTGGGGAGGAGGGGGCAGAGCAGACAACTCTCTCCAATATTTTGAATTCGAACTGCATTACCTATTTATTCCACTTGCCTTAACAAAACAAAGACTCACATGAAAACTGGCAAAAATAAAACCAGAACCAACATAAAATAACAACCCAGCAGATTTGAGGATAACGAGGGGGCAGAGCTGGAATTTTCCAAAGTGATCAAGGAGGGGGGGTCTCGTGATTTTCAGCCACAGTGTCATAAGGTCTACCCATTTGTTTTGAGTTAATTTAAAAAAAAAAAGGCACCTCAGTTCGTGTCAGATCCCAACATTTACCTAAAAGCACCATCTCAAAGATGAAAAACGACACATCACCACTAATGAAAGACTAAGGATCCATTTCTGTCACAGCCTAAATATGCATATCATGTATTATGAAAATATCTTGATGTATTGTAATATTACAATATTTTTGCTGTATCGCCCACCCCTAATATTAGGTGTAAAGAAAGATGTGAGGAAGGAATAGACTGTTTATGTACTATTCCTATCAGTGATTTTCTTTAAGTCAGGGGTCCAATCTTATCCGCAAAGTGCCAGTGGGCTGCAGGTTTTCATTCCAACAAAGCAGGAGTTCACATGATCAGTCATTTGAAGATTGATACAGGCAGAATCAGGTGATTGTTCAGAATGAAAACTTGCAGCCACACCAGCGCCTTTGCGGATAAGATTGGACACCCCTGCTAAGATAACATCACTTAAGCTCGAGGAACCTTAGTAATAGTCTTCATGAACAGATGTGGTTTGTTTACGTATGCTGCTGAATGCTAGTTCTTGAGTACTTCTACAATTAGTCAACACATTTACTTTTCACAGTATAAAAGACAGGTCTATGTATTTCTCCTTTGCTTGCCAAAGAACTCAACCATCGCACTGTGTGTAAATATTTCTTACAACACACAAATGAACATATTCCAAAACCAGAAATCATTTTTCCCCCTTTTTTCAAAAGCACATTAGTTGCACTGAGTTGCGAGTCAGCCAGATGACTGCTCACAATCCATAATGATTTTGCCCATATTGCCCCCTTAAAACTAGTGATGTAGTTGTCTTTTTCTCCTCTGTATGGTACTACCTGAAGAGGGTACCTACATGACAGAGGGTACAACAGGTACACACCTAGTTATAGGCACCTGATGATGATGATGATGATGATGATGATGATATGTTGAAGGGCTTTGGTTCCAGGATGTTTTGGACAGAGTGGAGTAGAAAGCATTCTGCGTGTGCTGGGAAGGTTATGCCTGATTAACCTAGTTTTAGTTACACAAGCTCTCACTTTCAAGTCTGCTTTGATCTAATTTTAAACTCGCTTCAGACGATATTTCAGAGAGACTACTGGGACACTTGTTACACAGCTTTTTATATAGAGTGAGGAGAAACAAGTATTCAGACCCTTGTTTTTGTTATTTAATATACTTCTAGTGCATATATTCACCTCAGATTTACACACATAGTGTCTTTTGATGTGGACGTGGACAAAAAAGCATGTATTACACCTGGTGTCATGTTGCCACTGGTTGGGAAAATTTCAAACAACAAGTAGCAGTCATGGTAAATATTAAGCTAATGGAGCTTCCTGAAGTTCTCAGGGACAACATTATTAAACACTACTTGAATAGTAAAAGTAACAGAGCCATAGCAGACATTAAGCATCCTGGTAGTATAATTGGTTCTATAATCTTTAAATGGAACATTTTGGAACCATGACTACTTGCCCCTGTACACAAAGGTTCCCACTCAAATCTCCTCTGTTTAAAATTTGCACACAAGCATTTAGACAATTCATAAATGTTTTAGAACAACATACTGTGTTAAAACCAAATAAATACAGAACTCTTTGGAAGTAATTCAGCTTGTCATGTCTAGAGAAAGAAGGGTTGGGCATATGAGTCATACCTGCAGTGAAGTATGGAGGTGGGAGCATCATGATCGGGGTATTACAAGTCATCGAAGGAAACATGAACTGAGTGATGTACTGGGAGACAGTAAATAAGGATTTAATCTCATCCAGAAACTGAATCTGAGGAAAAGATGAACATTTCAACAAGACTCTAAACATACAGCCAAAATAACTCAAGACTTTTTTGACAGGTGAAGGTGCTTACATGGCTTAGCCAACCTCTTTGAAAATTTATGAAGGATTTTGAAATTGCTAGGCCATTAGAGGGACCCTCGTAACTTTGGGGAATTGAAAATAGTTTCCCAGGGGGAGTGGGCCTTCTTATCATAGATGTCTCAAAGCAGTAATTGCCAACAATGGCCTTGCAACACTGTACTATTTTTAGAACCATTCATTTTGTTTTTAAATATATCTTTATGCGTATTATGAATACCTACTTATTTGTTTCTGGATTATTCTACTGAATTTGTTCAAAGTCAGAGTTCAAAACACATTTGAGACATTTAACTGACTTAGACTTCAGACTAAAATCCTCTTGCTTTAAATTATCCTATACCTTAATTATGTTCAATCATTTGTTAAGACAAATTCCATTTTGTCAGAAACAAATAACACTAATTACACTGCTGAAACTTTACCAAATGTTTCGGTAGTGATTGTGTTGGTAGTGACAATTTTAGCTAATTTTGAGCAGAACTCAAAAACTAACCAGTGCATGATTAGCAGACACAGCTTTGAACAGTTGAATAAACATAAATTAATATCATATTTTTCATTAAAACACAAAAAAAGTTTACATAATTGCAGAAAATGTAGGCAGCTCTTATTGTTACTCACTGATTTTCAGACTTTGGGACACACTCCAAAACAGTGGGATCTAACTGCTCACCATGTGGCCATGAGGGACAGCGATGCAGCCTCACTTCCTGCTCTAAAATGCAGGGATGTGGCTAAAATAAGGCTCTGCCTATGGACTAACTCTGTGAAACTCTGTGTTTCAGTAGTGATATAAAAACATGGGTGAATGAAGAAATAAAAAAAAACAGCAAAAAGACCGCCCCTCCCCCACCTTGTCTATATTTAGCTTATTACTGTCTCAGTTAATGCTCTGGATCATGCATTTGGATGGATCATAACATAACCCTTGTCAATATCTAAGTCTGGATACTGTTTTTGAACAGGTTTTTTACTGTGAGACCGCAGTTTGAAATAATTTGGTACAATCGTCCTTGTAAGTCTAAAGTCAAAATGCATTATGTGTGTAAATTTGAAGTGGATATATGAGCTGGAAATATTTTAAATAACAAAAGAAAAGTGTCTCATTACTTGTTTTCCCTTTACAGTAAATACTTCTTTTTTTTCCCACACTACTAATGTATTTTGCTTCACTCTGATTGGTCGAGCCTTGGCTTGGTGGGTCTGACAGATGCTCTGAGCATGCCTCTATCTGTGTGTCAGTCTTCATGTATGTCGACTTAGAGGCTGCGTATGTTGGCATGGCAACCTGGCGACGTGCGTGAGATGGTCTCTTGGAATGCCAGTGATGCAAAGGGCAGGTGTATAGATGGATGAATGGGTGGATGGATGAGTGGATGGATAGGTGGATGGGAGGCCACGGACACCGTCTGCATGCTTGGGCGCATGGGAAGCGCTTGCAGCTGCATGGGCGTCCGTAAATGCAGCCGTGTGCGGTCAGTAACGGTCAGCCCTTTTCTCTCTTTCACCCGGCCCGACCTTATAAGTGGCTCAAACAGGTGGGTTTGGACGAGCAGAGGCACTTTGTCCCCAAGCTTGAGCCCCCCATCCCCTCTCCCCAGCATCACACTGCTCAGTCACTCACACACAGGTAAAACACACAGCGCTGGCCCTGAAACCCAGTCGACCAAAGCAGTACGAGTCTCTGAGCTGGTTTTCCAGACACAGAATAACCTTAGTGCTGGACTAAACTGACCTATCTGTGCTCTGCCCACAAATGCGTTATTTCATTGCTACTGTTTTTTACAGAGATTTACAGAATGTAGACAAAAAATCCCATTCAACCTAATAAGAAACTGTAGCATCCAGCTTGATTATTGTGAAATGACCTATGTTTAGTGGGCGTATTTTAGGCCTGTCATGATTATGAATTGTTAGCCCATGATTAATTGCTATGTTAACAATTGCCATTAACAGTTATTTGGCTTTTTGTTAACTGTATGCAACTAGTAAAGTATAAGCCTAAAGTGGCCACATTGGCTGATTATCTATCTTGCTTCTTAGCTGTTGCTGCTTAGCTTATTTAGTAGCCCCCAACTGGACAGACACAGCTTGAGCTTAAATAAACAAACATTACTCACCCTCTAAAAGTGTTTTAGCACTATTTGGAAGTTAGAATTTGTGTTGTTCATTAAAAGCATTTTCAGCTTTCTTTTATTCTTTTATTTACATGTATTTGCCTCAATCCAACTGATGAAAACCCAATTCTCATTATTTATGATGTAAACATATGATTCTGAAAGCTAACAACTTAGTAATTGCAGTCAGCTTGATTAATCAGCTCAAATAACTGCAATCAGGTGATTATGTAATAATACATTGTGTTATTTGTTTCAGATATTTATTTTTCTTGTATATTTGAAAAGTTACACTGTTGATCATATATTTTTTGTGAGTTGTGTATTCAGGTTTTTAGCTTGGGGGCAAATCCACCATTGTCTCTTCCAACCTGCCTACTTTTGATTAGCGTCACTGTGGTCCAGCTTAGGCTGAATGGCATTTTTATAAATGTTCTGTTAAAACTTCTTCAAACTGGTAACAGTTGCCACAAAGAACACATTTGTGGGTGGAGCATGGATAGATTCATTGAACTGGGATTCTCAAATGAAAAACCCCATTTGTAGTCCAGGACTAGACTTAATCTCTATCCAGAAAACCAACCTGAGTGCAGACTCTCAGGAAAAACATATTCCTTTTTCCATTTATTCAGCATTTTGTTAGATTCTAGTCTCTTTTCAGAACTTTCAAATCACGTAGTACACAGCAATTAGTTTGTCACTTATTTGAAGTTTGACTGATTAAGTGTGGCAGAGAAAAGTGTTAAAGATACAGATAATTTCCCAGTTTTATAGTGCTCAATAATTAGTGTATTGCAGAAACCTACTGAGGGGACATTAACAGAGCTTCTTTTCTTTCTTTTGCAGATGAAATGAATGATCATCAGAACACACTGTCCTACGTGCTGATCAACCCTCCTCCAGACACTATTCTTGAGCTCAATGATATTGTGTAAGCCTCAGCCAAAAGATATTGCTTTTTGATAATTACTCAACCTAACAACTATTCTATCCTAAATTATTAACTGTTATCAAGAAACTGGGGCACAGTTAGCCACCCTAGACGCTTGCAGTATTATAGCACTGAAGGTTTTGTTTTCCATGCTCTAAAGGACTCATTTGAAAGAACAGTTTGTTTTCCTTACATTTACACCTAATTTAGTCCATCAGCCAAAACATGTTTTGCGTCCAGAGTTTGCTTCTTTAGTTTTGCACTGGAGTTAATGTAGCTAAAAAGTAATGGAGGCTGCATCTCACCATACAGCATTGTTAAACCAGTGAAATTGCTTAGTCGAGGGGTTCTCAGGTCAACGCCCACTTGTTTATCATGAGAAAGCATAAAGGCCTACAGGAAAACAATTTTGGGGCATTTTCAACACAGAGATGTTTGAATGCCTTTATTTTTTCATTGATTTTTATTACAAAGTTATCATTGACAGCCCAAGATGAACCACTTGGTCCCTCTCAGTGTTGGCCTAAGGACCACCAGAGGGTACTTATCCCAGTAGTTGAGAAACCCTGGTTCCTGGTAATGAGAATATTGGTCGTCAGTTGTGTTTGGATAAAAAAGAACAATATATAGTTGTGGCCTCTCTGGAAACAGGATTGGGAACTACTCATCTAAATGGAGGTCAGTGTCATTGAGGATAAGTTTATAGCAGCGGCACTCAATCACATTCCTGGAGATCCAACCCTAGTCTTACACACCTGATCCACATAACGGAGGCCTTTAGGGATGTGTTGGATCTGAACTCTCCAGGCTGGTTCATCTCCAGGACCAGGATTGCACACCCTTGGTTTTTACACAAATCAACACACTCTGTCTCGAACTAGACACATCAGTGTGTTCAGTTGGATATAATACATTTTGAGTTACTTTTAACACAAAATGTGTTGAAATATTTCTGTGCCCACTTACGGACAATTCATTTTGTGTTACTTTTAATGCAAAATGAGTTAAATCAGAAAACAGTATGACTCAAGAAGTGTTAAAATGGGTAACACAAGTGTTGTTATTGAACACATCACGTTTTAGAGTGCAGGGTAGCTAATGAAAACTATATAAATACTGAAAGAATGTAGCATTCTTTAGCTACACACAGTACATTATGGCCGTTCTCTTCTCCAGGTACATCATCCGCTCTGATCCACTGGCCCACGTACCCGAGGACCTCCCAGGGGGCCAGGCTGGGGCCAGGCTGAGGCAGGACTATGGTGCAGAAACAAGAGGAGAGACGCATCTCTGAGGGCTGGAGTTCAGCTCTACTCCCCGCAGGCTGCTTCAGCCCCGGAGCATGCATGAAGAGTGCCTCCTGACCCCAGCCCAAACAACCCACCGACTACATTCATCCTATCATGCTGCCCTCTATAGGGCCCTCCACAGGGCCGTGACAATCCCATCACTTACAGCATCCAACATTTCATACAAATCCCCATTTTATGACCCATGTGTGGGCGGAATCTGTTGGCACATCGTAGCAGAATTCCAGGGATGTGGTCATCGCACTTTTTGTTCTTCAGATTACAGGAGGTGGGTTGTAACATACAGAGTCGTTCTGGACCAAATGCACTGTTCATGCCCATTTCTTTCACTGGGCTTTGTATCAAGGAGAACGGGATCATGCCTGACAGTCAGAGAGTGGCACAAGCACTGATGTGAAAGGAAATTTCAGAGACATTCTAATCACAGTACTTACGACTGATCCATTTTGTACATACATGTAGGTACATATCTGTTTACATGCTCACTGGTTCTGCAGTATTCATAGTATTATGTTGTATTGTTTTGTCATTGAAGCACAAGCCTTTAGAACTGCCCAAACCCCAGTGAAATTTAACTCTTTATTACCAAGAACTGTGTTCAATTCGTGAATCAATATCAAGTTTTAACTTTTAGTACGAGTTACATATCTAAGATTATCGATCCAGTTTGGATCTTTTATCTTCACATTGTACATTTACAACACTAATCACCTTTGTAGTGCATTTTCTGAACCTCATGCTGAATGACTTGTTTGTATGAAGACGCTTCCTGCCACCTCAAAGGACTTGTGACCTGCTAAGATGGATTACGCATAATGACAGGATAGAAACTAGTCACAGTATATCCCACAGAAGGGCTGCTAATAGAAGTGTGTACACATGAACTCAACACATTTGATACAATAGAGAATATTTATAAGCATATACACCTACAGTTTATAGCTTATGGTTATGTTTCAGTGCTGTTCTGAAAGCTACTAACATTATGTTGTGTTCTCCTTTTTGTAATATAGCTTGTGCCAGATGTTCATTTTTTAATCAGCAGATTATTTTGCTTTTTCTGCATACATTAGGTTACGTTATCTAAATGTTCCCCATTCAAAAACTACATCTAGAATTTTGCACTAAGCTCTGTTGGCCCAACAGAGTAACGTAGTATGGCATGACCCTTTAACCCTGAACGACAGAGGTGGCAGAAGTGTACACATAAAAGTTTTAACTTTAAACATTTCTTGTTAAGTTTATTTTAAAGTAATTCTCTTTTTTTTTGCACCACAGTTTATTTTTTCCACACATGTTGCATGATCTTAAAGCTATACTGGGAAGGTGGAACAAAACAGGCAGAATAGATTGGAAGTTTAAAGAATTTTCAGGGGATTTTTTGATACCTGATGTCAGAACTGCAGACCTTTTGAATATTTTATTTGTAATGGGCACTTTGTGAAAGGGCCCAAGTATGATTAATATATGTATTGAATTTTTCAAACACTTAGCAGCAGTATGTTCATTTACAGCCTCTTCATGATGCTCCCCAAAGACTACCATAGTTGTTGTACAGAAAGCAAAGCCTATGCGGATCCTCACTCAATTAACGATGAACTATATCAGTATATATACTGGAAATCAGGTCCATCTCAGGTCACTCAGTAGAAGGAGCAGAGCTGGCAGGAGGAAGGACCAAAGAGCTAATGATCCAGAATGGGAGGAAGAAATGTCACTATTTCAGAGCCATCAAATAAACTCAGCCATATAAAGACTATCTATTAGCCATAATTCTTGACCAGTCATTTTTGTGTCCTGTTTCAACACAACCACTCAGTGTCCTGTCAGTGTTTTTGGGTGTTGCAAAAACATCCAAACTCTACTTTCCGGCCCTGCGTTTACACTTTCCCTTGAATAAAATGTGACTGACGACAGGATGGCTAACCCTTCTCGTCCACCGGTTACCTCAATTGTCTTGCTCATGCTATCTTAAAATGAATCAAATGAAAAACATTAGGTGGACTGCTGAGTTGATAACAGTATATTTTGTTATCATTTGTGAAGGATATGCATATTGTGCATGTTAATCTAGTCTATTGACTTCCTTTTTGAAAGTTACATGTTCTGTTCCATTGCCAAACCACTGACCACTACCAACAAAGTGGTACTTTACAAGATCTGTAGTTTTGTCAGCATTTCAATAGAGGTAGAAGACAAATGGACCGTGCATGTCCTTATATTGCCAAACCTTTGAGAGACCCATGTTTACATTTGCTGGCTCCTGTTTTTTTGTGCAGAACGGTGCACTGCAAAGAGGAACTGATCCATTTTTTGTACAATTTCTTATATGAAGTCTGTGTACTTCCAATATGTACGAATGATTCAATAAATGCTGCATGCAGCCAGAAACAGTGTTTCTCCATTCTTAACCTGTTGTATGAGTTTGCATGAATGGATTTTAGGACAGGGAGCGCGTGGCACAACGTAACGTTTCTTGTCTGCTTAATTTTAAAAGTATTTAAAATGTTAATACTTTTTATACAAACCACACACATCTCTACTACAAATGAAAATGTTAATTTTGTCTTGCAGCTACTGTTTATGAACAGTTCAGCTGAAAGCACAGTGCAACTTTTAGATCTTATCCCATTGGCGAGGTTAATTGTAACAGGCAATTAAAATTCTGGTAAATCAACACAAAGCAATTAATTCAATAAAAAATGTGTCAAACAGGTGCCTTGATACTGTGGGATACCTTCTGGGCTGGTTGAAGATGTCCGGAATGGAACGTAAATGCACTGCTTTGATGCTGAAAAAACAATATATATTTTATTTAAATGACATCTTCAGTACGTTTTTGATGAATCTGTGCATAAAAACTTTATTCAGGAAGGCTTGTTAGACTGCATTACAACTAACCCTGTGTGAAGGCTGTACTTTAGACTGGCCAGCTCTCTCACTGTGAGTTGTTGATATGCTTAAAAACATTTCTATATTAAATAATAATAATAAAAAAAAAATGTATAATTTACCTTTATCTACATTCAGGTTAAGGAATCAATGAATCACTGAGAAATATCTGATTTCTGACAAAATCTGCAGATGACTTTATATATGCATGCGTGTGCATGTTTGACAACATTTATTTATTTTTTATTCTGTGCACACTATCAAATGTAAGATTATTCAGACAATATACTGAATACTATTGAAGTGAGTTATAAAGTATGCTATAAAGGAAATCATACTATAATTGGCACACTTGTGATGACATTTTACAAGTGCTCAAACTAATTCTACATTTCTCATTCTATAATTTTCTAATTTTTAACAGCTGTGTTAAATGCTGTGACCTCTGTAGATACCCAGGTTGCTCCTTGGTGTACTTTCCATATTACTGTTGTTTACAGCGTAAAGAGCAAAATTAATGACTCTTTCCTGACTGTTTATGTTTTTGCTTGTTCATATGGCTCTGCCTCCACCGCTCCCGCGTCCAGCGACCATGGTTCTCCACAACCTCATGCAAAAGATCTATGAAGGCATATTCATTATCCACTAGCAGGCTGTCATCACTAGGAGAACCTCCAGAAGGGGGCACTCTTGAGTCAGATCCTGACTGATTCCTCTGTCCTCTTAGTGCTGCTCTTCCTTCCTTTTCTCTTATCCGGGACTGCCTCTCTGATTTGGATACCATCTGCTCACTCTTGAGAGTCTGATCCTTCTTCTTTGTCCGGCTACCTCTTTTTACGATGTCAGACTCTTCACTGGGATTCACTGATTCTTCATGGTGCATCTCCTCAGACAGTGGACTGCTATGGAGCAAGTCTTTACTGTTTAATAGAGGATTATGATTAATAATACCATACTGAGCTTCATTTAATTTAGCAGAATACTGAGCTGAGTTGGGGAGGTTTTGAATGTAAGAGTGGGTAGTTGACTCTGAAATTTCCTTCAAAAGTTCCACAGTCTTGATATCTGTAGCTTCTTGTCTTGCCGATTTGTGTATGGTGTTTGAGCCAGAGCAACTATCGTGTGGGATACCTACTGGGCTGGCTGAAGACATGCTTGATGGAAAAATGTTAACTTGATGCTGCAAAATAGCCTCTGGGCTGATTGAAGAAGTACTGAACGGGAATGTGCTGTTTTGATGCTGGCATCCAGTGACAAAGACAAACTCAGGGAAAACACTGACGATTTGCTGATTTTGGGCCCACTGCTTTTTCCACTGAACTGCTGTAGGAGGCCAGGTCAGTACTCTTCTAATGGACCTTGAAGGCACCAGATGAGTGGAAGCTTCAGTTGGAATCTGCTCTAGATTTTGGTTTTGGTTTTCTGGATCAGTCCCAATGGTGAGGTACGGTATGGTCTCAGAATCCTCAAAAGGCTGGAAACCATCAGCACTACCTGGCTGAGAAAGTTCATGTCTTGCTAAAGTGGATATCAAATTATCTTTAACTTCCTCCTCATTGAACACAGAATCATAATCGTTGTGCAGAAATTCCTGTTTTTTGGCATTTTCCTCCTTTTCCACCAAACCTTCTATCATTTGGTTCTGCTTGTGCTTTTCTCTCGTTGCTAAAGTGGTACTAAACTCATCACCACCATCATCTACTTTCTCGACCTGTGGATGTTTCCTTTCCATTTTCTGCAAGTCTTCTTCCGTTCCACACTCTTGCTGTTCCTGCCTGGCTTCCATCATCCCATCAAGAAAGTTCTCGTAATTGTCCTTCTCACTTGCAAACTTGGCATGCATTTCTTCATGCTTTAGCTCTTTCAGATCTTTCCGGTCTTCCACTCCAGTCTCTAACCGTCTACCAAAGATGTCAGTTCTAGAGAGCACAGGTCCAGCTGATTTGGCTCGGTTATTTCTGTCTCCGTTTTGATATATTCCTGTGCCATAAATGTGGTAAATCTGTGACATCTTCTCAGACTCAAGTACTGTCTGGTCCAGCCTTTGTAAAACTTCAGTTCTGTAATATGGTTTCTTGTTCAGGTCATTTTTATAACTTTCTAGGGCTTCCCTACAGTCTAACTGTGCTTGTTTTCCACATTCTGGTTCCTCTGGAGAAGGTCTGATGGTCTGCAGATGTTTCCGCTCTCGTTTTCTGTGGTACAAAACTGACAAAACACAGATGACAAGTACCAGGGCACAAAGTACCACTGGCAGAAGATACTAAATTAGTATTTCTCATATCACATGGTTTAATTTACATCTGTCTAAAAATATACATCATCAGTGTAAACCACAACTTAAAACTGTAATGTGAAGCGAATACATGTGGTCCTATTTTGTGTACAAATCATGTGTATCATGTCATTCCAGTGATTAAGAAAACTTACCTAACAAGCTGATAAGAACAGACCAATTAATGTGTGGTTGAATTGGTGTTGGTTGTAGGGTGTGACTGCTTCCAGTTGTGGGGCCTACTGCTGTGATGTGTTCTACACATTTGGACACATTCCATACAGGCACTCCCCTCAGACATGCTGGACTGTCACAGAGCACCTCCATTTCATTCTCCAGCAAAGAGGCCCTTTTGAGTTCTGCACACAACACACAGAGGTTGGCACTACAAGACATTAGAGAATAAAGCTGACGCAGAATTAATTAAATTAATTACTGAACTACACCCATTTGCCAATTTAATAGGTGCTGCATCTATCTTGCAACTATACTCGTAATTAATTGTACTCATGAAATAATTGTACAACAAGGTAAGTAAATTTGGAAAAATTAACATGTTAATGTAAGATACTTCTTATTTTTACTGTTTCATATCAAACCAAATTAGGAATTTAGCATCAAACTAAAATATGAATTTTGTGAATTGTTACATCCCTAGTGTCTTAATATGTGGCTAGCAAGTGTGCATTGTGTACAAGCCAGAGTAATGCTGCTGTGCATGATTCAATCCAGACGAACACTTGTTTTTAACAAATACTATAAATGGCATAAAGCAGCCAGATGTTCATGATTTTGCCATCTTACTGTGATTACTTCCAGAAATGTTTAGGAATCTTAAAAACAATTCTTCCACCAAGCAATGTAGTTCATTAACGGTAAACCAGGTGGTGTGATGTTGAAAGATCATTCCGTGAAGAGTAATTATTAATAATTTAAAGCAGCACTATGTACGTTTTTTTTTTGGTCAAAACTGAAAGAGTAGCGTTACGGACTCAGGAGAAAAAAAAACACATTAAAATGTGTGTGCATGCTGCTATGAGTCAACCTGTGAAGCCTGAAAGAATAATTTAACAGTCAGAAGTGACGGGACCGATTTCATAAGAGTTTTTCCCCCAAACACGTCATATGTCTGTCTTTACATATTAACGTCACACACACAGACACAAAAAGAAAATCTGGCTCGATGTTTAGGTCTCAAATGCAAAACTGACATTATACTGATGAAGACAGAAGTAGATAATTCACTTACATCCTCAGAAGAAACATTCTGCACCAAGTTTTAACTAAGTTATCTTTGAATACTCTCAATTCGCTTGCAGTCATCAGACTGATTCACTGGTGGGGATCCAATGCACAATTGACAATATAAAATGTTCCTCCACATATTGCATGCAATACACATTTCCACCAGAGAGGTATCCAAGTCCCCAAATGTTACATAGTGCTACTTTAAAAACATGGCATTAACACATGAAAACAGCCAATCAGCTTTTAAAACTGCAATTATCCATTCTGTATATATATCAAATAAAATATAAAAAAGTCATGTTCACCTCTTATGTAGTCGCTATACTCAGTGTAGGAGCAGTTCCAGGGGTTTCCGTTCAAATAGATTTTGGTGTTATTGACTGGACGAAGAGTTTCCACACTCAAATAACTCAGCTTATTGTTGGAAAGGTCTAGATGGCTCAGGTTACTCAGGGAGACAAAAGTACCAGTGCTGATAGTTTGGATCTGGTTGTGAGACAAGTTTAGTTTGAGGAGCCCCAACAGGCCACGGAAGGCATCGTCATTCAAGGACACAATCCTGTTACTTGACAAGTTGAAGTCCTCTAGCACTTTGTGGGTGAACCAGGCTGAGGTGACTAGGGAGATGTCATTACTGTGCAAACTGAGCATCTTCAGGTTTTGAAACTTGTCAAAGGCCCCTGCTGCTATAGCTGTGATTCCATTTTTTTCCATTGTGAGACTGGTGACAGATGCCAGATGTGTGTTGTTGAACACAGTTGAATTGATCTCTCCCACATTGCTCACCCAGAGTACCAGAGAGCTCATGTCAGCAGGATAGCCTTGAAGAGGACATGCATATGAACTTACATGTACATTTGCAGGTATTAAGTTTAAGCCAAAAGCAGGATATTCCTGACTACTAAAACATTACATCTGAACCACTGAAAAAGTTGTTGCCCCACTTGAAAACAATAAAATATCTTACTTGTCGGTATCTCCTTACACACATAGCCCAGTCTTGGCAGGCAGCTTTCATTTAATGCAAAGTCGAAACTTTGTAGAAGTCCCCAGACCAGGAGAAAAGCTGTGGAGAGAGTAAAGATATTCACTTTGCATATTAGTTTTAGTCTCTTTTAACATGAAATTGGAGAAGAAATTCGCACTCACCTTTCATTTTTTATGTGATCCTCAAATTCTAAAAGTCTGTCCAGCTACCATCCAGCAAATACCTGATATCAGAAGCCACCCACTGACAATAAACTTACCAGTTGCCAGGGCACATGTATGTCTTCAGAAGACTGTCAAGGATACAGCAACTGCCACTGAAGTGTGGCCCAAAGTTGTTCCAGTTGGGTAAAGCTGGCAGACACCATGTCAGACCCACAGGAGCTACGTCTCTGGACATGGGTGACTTTCAAACAAACAATACATGAAAAATACAATGAAAAATAAACAAACACAATAATAATAAAGAAATAAAAACACATATGTGTAAAACTTTAGCTGATAATGCTCACGAGTGGGTGCCTATTAGAATAAAAATGAATAAATAAATAAATAAAAAGGCGAATGAAAAAAATAAAACATGATAAACCAAATGATGAAAATGAGTTTATTTAATTATTTATTAAATTTTCAGTGCCTTTGTTTAAAATAAATAATGGTATGGTGAAGAAAGTAAAATGACCAAGCATGAAAAGTACAGTGTTTTTAAAAGAACTGTGACCAACGTCAGTACAATCTTTTAGTTTATATGTATATATATAAACAGACATATGTACAAAACTGCTCTTAGAAAGTAAACAAATGCAACAACTTATTAGAACGAAATCTATTGTCTGCTTTTTGGAAAACAGTAGTTTAAGAGCCTTTTAGGGGCCAATAGTTTGCTCATCAGTGTTAAATCTTAGTGTTTGTTTAAAGTTTTTTTGGAAGTGTAATATGCAGTTTAACCTCTTTATACCATCATCACTTTATAAGCACAATAATCTAGCGCTTCCTTCTCTAGCTAAGTGTATGAGAATTAAAGTGCATGTGCAACACTATTTTGTTCTTGACACCAAACTCAAGGCTTCAGTGAGTGTTTTTTTTCTTCGAACATTTAAAACAAGGATGTGGCAGTGTTGACACGTTTTGTTTTTTCTTCCTGTCTCAAAGGAATGTTTTAAACACGGGTAAATAATTAGACAGCAACTGCAAAGGAAGTAACCGATTATGAATATATTAAATACTGTCATTCAAACCGTTTACAGCGACACTCTTCAGAACAGAGCATGCTGCTCTTTTGCATGAGAGACAAAGCTCCAGAGCCGACATCACTCATGGTTACATTGCATGATAAAAGCACTAAAACATGATCATGAGTGCACCATTTTACAGGACACGGCTGTCCAGTGGAGAAATCACTACCTCTACCATTAGAATAGTAGCAAAACAAGAGAGCATCCGAGACATGTACCAAAGCCTATTCCATTCCCTATTTAAAAGGTCCATCGCAGGTCTATACACCAGTGCTACAGATGATTTGCTTTTAAAGCGCTGAATAAATAGACGATAGTACCACGATGCGTGAAGGCCAACAATACGTATGACTGGGATTGTCCCAGTGACACAGAGGAGACAGTTCAGAGCAGCATGTTTTTTGGGGACGAAAAAAAAAAAAAAATCCAGAGGCAAATCGGCAAATACTTTTCTACATGAATTTTTGGGTTATGATCTTCAGATGCAGCAGACCTTGTTTAGATGCAGCAGTCTCTCAGTCTGTTTTACAGCAAAGAGATGACACCTCTGCTGATCAGAGACGAAAGCTCTGCTGCAAGTGAGCTTGCCAAACTGAAAAAGATTTCAAGTAACAAGAACTCAATCAATAAAAAATGCCACAGGCTGTAGATAGAGGACAAACCCCGAATAGACCAAAATTAAGAGCATGTTGGCCGTCAGTCCAAACATTCACTTACACGCAGCCACTCTCATTTCATTACAGCACAAGCGGAAAGAAGTTGATTGTGGACACCTTTGTGGTCTTTCTGTAATTACAGTAAGCACATATGAGCACCTCTTGACTACAGCTCCCACAAGATGTGTTAGACTTCACTTTCCACTCTTCTTTGGCACTGCGGACCTCTTGGCCTGCCAAAGGTGATTGTGGATCGTCAGGGCATCCACACTGACAGATACAGTCTTGGCAGGTATGACGGTGAACTGCTTGCGGTCAGAGCTGTACTTGTACAGTTTGTCGATCATCTTCTTGGTGATGCTCTTAGGCCCTGTGCCAGTGAGCTTGTGGATTTCCTCTGTGTCTGGGAAGTATGAGTAAAGCGCCCGGAACTGGCAGCCTCCATCGCGGAAGAGAATCATCAAGTGGTTCGATTCACACTTCTCAAGTTCCTGCAAACAAATGTGAAAGCTAATTATTTCTCAAAAGAGTCAGCCTACTTGATCACAAAAATGCTGCACTGGAGGACCATACTAAAAAGCCCTTTCTATGCATAAATTTCTGTGATGTGATGTGAAGCTTACTGACTGTTTTTAGGCAAAAGCTTTTAGGAAGGTAACAAACCTCAAGGATGGAGTTCTTCTGTGGTTCGTTTACTTTCCCTGCCAAGCAGCAGTGAGAGATGGCATTGTGGATTATCGGCTTATTAGACTTTGCACTTGGCTCCTTGAAAAGTTTAGGCCCTGCAGGGGAGAAGGGGGGAAAATTAATAAATAAAATGAAAAAATGTGAGTAAAATGAAATAAATTTAAAAATCCTTAGTACACTGCCAGAAATAAAGGGGACATATTTTAAGAATATCTTTCAGCATATGAAATGTTAAAGTGGATAACAGCAAGCTTTCCATCCAGCTGAATAACAGAAATATCGCAAAAACCTTTAATCTCTGTTCAACAGAAAAAACACTTCTGAGAAATGTGGAGTGGGTTTACAGAGAAATCTTTAATGTTGAGCAGCTTGTCATTGCTGTATTGTGTAACTATATGGCTGTATTTTATATCGTAAGAGCGCAGAGACAGAACACACCAGCAAGCATGGACATGGAAACAGCTCAGGAAATGTTCATTAATAAGTTTATTAGTCAGTCCAATGGTACTGGGCAATATATCATGACTACTCTATTCATATTTTTTCACATTATTTATTCAGCAAATATATGTTTCCATTTTAATTGATCACATTTCTCTATATTCTCAAAAGATCTCACTACCTCAAGTGAGCACACAACTTCTGTCTGAATTTTGTTGTTTTTACGCACATTTTGGCATCTCCATTAATTCCTTTTTATTTGATATATATCAAAATAAGCTGGCAAATACATGAATGGAAACCTAGCTACTGTCTGTCCAGAAAAACGCTCAAATTGTTCTACAAATAAAAGGGGAGATTGCGTACCAGTATATTCTGCCATAGATGTCGATGTAATGGAAGACGCAGTCGAGCCGTTGTCCCAGTCCCGCTCTGTAGTCCGACTGAAACCAGAAAATGACTCTACCGATTCCCCCCTGTTCATGGAAAGAACACGCCAATAAGAGCAATAGTGTTCAGCTACATTTAGAGGTCACCATCTGGATTAGTGGATTGATTTTGGACATTAATTAAAACTACACAGGCACAGCCACACATGTGCATAGCTTACCGCTGAGATCCTGCACCCCCTGAGTTAACACTGTCTGCCTCAGTGGTGGCCACAGAGGCCAGTGAGAGATTAGAGCCGGACTGGGCGCTGACAAGGTTCTCATCTGAGAAGGGGAGATAATTTTAAGAATTAGACATAAGACTTACCAATAAATGTGCAATAATTAATAAAGAGCCCCCCCAATTACATCAGATATGGCATTAACAGAGTATAGCAAAACTATATCAATCAAATGATGTATTTGGGGGTTAGTTAAGGATCTCTTACTAGAATTCTTCTTATTTGTTTTAAATGCCTCCTGATGACAAAAAACAACAGCAAGGGTGCTTACTGGCAGGGGAACATTTTGGGAGTGTGTCAGTGGAATGCTCTTCCTTCAACACAGACTTCGGTCTTTGTTTCTTGGGCTTAGGTTTGGGTTTAGGCTTGGGCTGTTCCTGTTCCTCAAACATCTCTTGCTGTTTCCTTCGCAAGTATTCTTGCTTTATTAACTCTCGTCTCGCTTTCTCTTCTTCTTTTCTCATCCGATCCTCTTCAGCTTTCCGCCTGGAAAAATTAGGTCTTCCTTAACAATTGTGCCATAAATTCTTAACATGTCTAAGAAGTCATTAAAAGAAGCATTTTGCACATGAGAAGCCATCCTTCTATGATAATCTGCTGGATTTAACTCCAACACCTTAAACAAGAACCTAAACCTTAAAAAGTTGTTAGTTATTAAATTTATTTTTATGGTAATGCACCAGTAAGCAGCAAAACAAGCTGTGTGGAACTATTTCACTGTGTCTACATTACTAAAGCGATTTGTAATCACTGTTCATGCACTGTTCAACTACCAAGAGAGGGTATAATGCCCACTTCTCTATTGCAGGTTTGACAGCAGTTGAAAACATGACATCTCACATTATGCAGAACAGAAAAACAACAGAGGCAAAAAGGAAAGTCCCTGGGAGCAAGCCAATGCAAACCATAGCAAGTTTTTGAAAAGAAAAAAAAAAAGGTTTCAGCCATGGATTTCGGTCCATCACTCAGAGCTATTTTATCACCTTCCGATTTGATCAAGTCATCATGTATTGTTGCTCCTGTGTAAAAAAACTTCTCCAACTTTTTTTTGTCTTTTTTATTATTATTTTTTTTTATTTAAATTTTTTTTTACATAAATTTAAAACTCTAGTTACCATTTGCATTGTATTAAAATTTCATGCTGAAAAGGCCAACAAAAACAGTCCAAAATTACTTGGTTTATTCATTAACTTCCATTACTCGTGAAGAATGAGACAGATGTTGGCAGTACCTGGCTTCATCCCTCTTAAGCTCGCTCTCCACCTCTAGCTGCTGCTTGCGGAGCCGAGCCTCCTCTGCCTTCTTCTGTTGTTTCAGAAGAAATGCTGCCCGCTTTTTGGCCATTTCATCCTCAGCCTTCTGTTCATCCTGTAGCCCAAAAATATTCAAAAGAACACTTGAAACATTTTCAGCATCACTGAATTTTATCTAGGGTGGAATGGAACACAAGCCTGTACCTTGAAGAAGAAGCCCATGCCGGTTTTCTTTTCCCCATCTGCTGCTTCTGTGGTGACGTTAATGTGTTGGAACTTCCATCATCTGACTGGACTGCCAAGTCTGACAAGTCCACTTCGATTAGATTAGCCTTGCTCTTTGTGCTGTCCTCAGACAAGGCATTCTCAAACTGAGGACCATTGTCAAAGGTTGCATCAGGGTCCCTTACTGTATCAGACACATCTTCATTAAACGTCATTCCCAGGGCCACAGAACTTGGCTCCCGTGAGACAGTACGCAAGTTGGCCTCATCATGAAGATGGAAGGCAGTGTTCTTCAGGGTCCCCTCATCCTGGGTGACTGTCTCATAGTCCACTCTGGGGGTCCTGCCCCCTGGACTGGCTCTAGCGGTAGGACTGTCAACAGGAGTAGGGGTAGATACTTTCTGCCCTTTGCTGTGCTCCTTGGACAACTTCAGCTCAGACGGTTTGGAGCGGGAGCGTGCTGAGCTAAGCTTTGGGGGCTTCCGGACTACAGGGCTGCCGCTTGGCTCCACAAAATGGATAGCAGCTCGGACCTTTGGTTCAGATACAATTCCTTGGTCACCATTAGGCGGTGGGGCAGCACCTGGTGGGGACTGGATGTTCTGCTTCATGAGGAGGTCCTGCTGGAGTGATAGCTGCATCATCTGCTGCTGAATGCTGCTGATAGCATCATTGAGCATTTCTATGGAGCGGTTACACTCATTGAGGTCTATTTCCTCATCTACATCTAAGGCACTAGGGGGCATGGCAGCTGCACTATCCCATTCAAGGGATGCCTTCTCTGGCTCTTCAGGGCCTTTCTCTCCATCCCTCATTGCATCAAGACTTGAGTCATCTTTTGAGGACTTCTCTTTTTCCCCATTAAGCTTCTGGTTATCTTTCAAGTGATCTGGTTTCAGGGGCTGAGGGAGCGTGTCACTCTTCCCTTTTTTAACTATGTGAAGAAAGGCAGCTTTCCCAAGTTTGAGCCTTTGCCTAGCACACAAGACCTCCATCTTCTTCTTCTGTGTCTCGATGGCGCGGCGTTTTTCTTCAAGCTGCATGTGCAGCTGCACAAGTTCTGAAGCCAGCATGTTTGCATTGTCCTTGCCCTGCTGTGTGGGACTCTGGTCCCTCTTCATCCTCCAGGAGGTGAGGGGAATAGTGCAGCTCTCTGAGCCATCCGGTGTGGTCCTTTGTGAGCTGCTGGTGCTGGAGCGGATGTCTTGATTACTGCCAAACTTCTGCATTTTCCGTTCCGCAAAACTGGTCATTCGCACACTGCCACTTGCCACACTGCTCACCTGTGACTGAACACTGAGACCAGGGCTAGAGCACCTGCTTCCTTCATCCTTGTCCTCATGCTCCTTCACGTTCATGTCCTCTCGCAGCTTTGCCGATTCCACATCCTCTTCATACAGCTGCTTCTTTTGTGGATGCAGCTCTTTGGTTAGTTCTGCATCCTGCTCTTCAATTGTCTCCACAGTGTCTGTATCAGAGTCAGGCAGAATGCCCCAGGCCTGGACAGGCCTCTTGTCCTCAGGCACAGAGGAATGCAGGTAAAACCCTGAAGACTGTTCAGCAGGGGGCTCAACGCTGCTGGTGACCATGGGTCTGAAGGCATGAGTCTGCCCAGGAGGTGGAGGCACAGAGTCATTGGATTTGGGCTCAGAAGTTATTTCAAGCTCAGAGCTGGAGCTAGCATTGAAGGTTCGGTTAAGGCTGTGCGGAGGTCTTCGCCTAGCTGAGGAACTGGGTCCATCTCCTCCACCAACTCTCCGTCCTGTCCCACGCTGTCTTGATTCCCCAGACTCTTCTTCCTTGTTCAGGCATATGGACTTTTCTTTTGCTGGTTTCAGGACAGCAGGCATCAGTGGCTCCAGATAGAAACTGGCAGTACGGGAATCTGCACTGGCTTCCTCTTGTCTTCCCCGGGTGCTTGTTTTAGCACCAGGGGTGGCGGAGTGGCGCTCTGGGTCGCCACAGTTTGCCAAAGTACTGTCATTCTTTGATGACTCTGCCCTGATAACTGTTACCATCACGTCTTCTTCATCCATGTTAACATTTCCTAACAGCCCGTGACCGTTGACCCGCCGAGGACCAACCTGGCTTGGATGGCTCTGATGCTTGGGTGTGACAGTGGAGGCTAGGCTGTCCTCACTGATGGAGCATGTCAGACTAGCACTGTCGCCCGAGGCCAAGTCTGCATCGCTATCCGTGGCACAGTGGAGAACGTAGCGATTCAGCTGGGACAATGGCCTGGTTAGAATTACAATTGAAACAGGTCAAATGTGGATCAAATAATTAACAATGAGCACTCATACACATAATTCAATGTAAAACCACAAGAATACAGAATACACTTTTTCTTGTACCTCTGTCTTTTGTCTGACCAAGCCACAGACCCCCGACTTTCTTGTGTGAGTGAATTTGAACGATTTCGACAGGCTGTTAAGAAAGCACAAGACAATGTGATCAACCAGTGTAGCTCTTCTGGTATACAGGCCACAGCTTATTTGCTGTTAGTCTGCCACTGAAACATGGAAAAGCTAAAATAGTTTTACAAAAGCATTTAAGTATGAATAGCTTGTGTTTTTGCTAAGTGGCCATGTTTATTGTATAGAGTCTTACCTGAAGCATCCTCTCCTTGCTGAGCTTTCTGCTGCCTCTGTCTCAGAGGTAGGAGTGGATGTGAAGGACTAAAGCTGGAACTCCCCTTGTTACTGAAACAGAAAGCAGAGGGCACTGTTGGCAAGCTTCTATATCACAAAAATCAGGGCAAATGATATCCAAGTCTACTGGAGTCCAAAATCTAATCTTAACTGACACTATGCATTTTCCATGTGGCTGGAGAAATATAGACAAGCAGTGTTAGGAATGACTGCCCTAATTAAAGTAATTTGTTAAATGTAAACATCTCAACCTGTAATTCCACCAAAAACCTACAGTCTAGACCAAGAAATCAGGATCATTCAATTAATTTTATGCAAATGTTTTTTCCAAGCTCCAAAAGGAACAACACAACTGTTCCCTATTAAGTCATACAGGGAAGTAAACTCCCTGCAGGCATGGTGCTGTCGGACTGACCCAGTAAAACCTTCCCAGGCTTTATCAAACCCAAAAAGTTAAAAAACTGAGAAAAGCTACATGACCTTAAATACTAGTTATTAAATATTTCTCTAGACCTCATTAACACACCTCATAATCATCACAATCTTATAATTCAGGTCACATTTTGACACAAAAGGTCTAAATACAACAGACCATTGTTTAAACATTGTACATAATCTTTTTTTCAGAAAGCTTGCAGACCTGCCGATATAGGAAAAAAGGCTAAGGAAGAAAAAAAGGCAAAACTGTCTGCCAAGCACACAAAAAACATCAACTCTGATACACTATAAAAGATGTTCAGATGAAAGCTTTTGCATGAAGGAAAAGAGGGCCTTTAAGACTTACAAATGATCAGATTCCTCAGGGTGCAGGAAGTACCTGTTACACACTTCTGGACTGTTTGGGACAGGGTGAGCATGATCAGCAATGCCAGGCGAAACCAGGAAGCTCCGTTTGGTAGCATTAGAGATGGGCACAGAGGGCCGGGAACTCTTGGACTGAGTCATTGCTCTTGCTGTGAGGGAGACATTTGTTAAATCATTAGATGTATAAATAATGATTCTGAAATACATATATTAAGATAGTGTGATGCACACTACGCAAGCACCAACTAAGTGGCAGCTTTATGGGTATAACAGGATATAATTAGATATCAGAAAAACTTAAGGGTGTGTCGTTTAGGGGTTGCATAGACTAGATGATTAATATAACCACTAGTCGGCACTGTGGGAAGCTGTCAATTCGATGAGGACAATGCCTGAATTTAGCAACAAATATACCCTATCAATCAATCAATCAAGAAAAAAAGTGGACACACAGGAGAACAAAACAGAATTTTTTCTACTGAACACAAAGTAAAAAATACTTTATTAGTGAGGAATTACATCTCGAAATTCCAATTCCCCTGAAATGGGTAAGACTATGCTGAGATACAGGCTCATAAGCCAGACTGTTTTGGAAGAACTTACTTTAAAAGTAAGGGACCATTTGGCTTTCAAAACAACCAATCACAAACTGTTATGCAACCATCACTCTGAAATGCTCGTGGTGTGCAGAAATGGTAATTACTTAGTTCCAACGCTTAGCTTGACAATTTGTTTCACATAAATTAAAATAATAATAATAATAATAATAATACATGAAAAGCACAGATGCAGGATTCTGATGTGATCATTTTAGCATGCTGTATACATCATGTGGTCAAAGTGACCAAGATAAAACAAAAACTCTTCTGCAATGCATCCCCACCTCAAAATGAAGCAAGCCCCTACTAGCAAGCCACACCACAAATACTTTTCATTAATATCCAATTTTTTCTAGTAGAATACTTTATTTTTGTTTTGAAAAATTCAATCATGCAAATCCCTAGATTCCACAAAAAAATACTTTTTCCTTAAAAAAGAAAAATCACCAAATTTAGAAGACATCTGAAAAGTATCAGTATCAATAATAATAATAATAATAATAATAATAATAATAATAATACAATTTAATTTAAAAAAATAGAATTAAAAAACAAAACAAAATCTCACCATCCTTGAATTCCTGGACATCTCTTGGTTGGACAAACTCGGGTTTCACAATCTCAAACCACCAAAAAAGTTCAGCAATGAATACCATCACATTGTGCTGAGGAAAGAATTTGGAGGCATAAAATATTAGAGGATGAGCGTTTCACATGGGCCTACGCAAAAACAAAGACATATTTGACAAAGGAGGAAGGAGATACGTATTCCATTTCTTACCTTGAGCACAAGAGGTGCATACAGCATGTCTTCTAGTGTTAAATAGAAACCTTTGTTGAGGTACTCGTTGGCAAACTCTTTCAATAGCTGTATATTATACAGGCTGTCCGCTATTGAGGTGACCTCCTTCAAGCAAATATCTACACGTGACAGGAAAGATAAGGTTAGCAAACAAGTTCTCTAATGACATCCTTGGTTAGTGACATTTATGAAATACATACAAGCCAGCACTTGAAGTCAATATTTGCTTAAAGTTTAAACTATTTGGAACCAAAAATTCTCAACAGCTACAAAAGCTGCACAGAAGATCTTCTAGGGAAAAGCACTAAGGGGAAAACAATAACCAATGGTATGAGAAAGCAGAAAATGCTACAGTAAACAAAAAATGACATGGCATCCATTTTCCATTTTTAGATCTTTAATTTTTTTACTGATCATATACTAAGCACAAATACCAAAGCCTGGATAACAGGGCAGCACAAAGGGAACCAGGGAAGACAGCTCTGCAACACACAGCTGAATAAATAAATGCCTACCATCAAGCTTCATCAAATCAGGGCAGTAGTAGTGGACCACTGTCAGCAGAGCGGCACCATCGCACACATCCCTCATCAGATCTTCCAGAAGGGGGAAGTGGGGTAGCTGGCGACCTGAGGCGTGCTCCCGCCGGTAGCGCACCTGAACACGTGAGAGGATACAATGGTCCAAGCAGCTTGACTAATGAATTTCAGCTAACACAATCCAGGTTTGACATTCTAGATACACCTAGAAATGTACATGCCTCTTTCAAATACATTTTTTCATAAGTGAAAGGAATTTTATGTTCATAGCTTTAACATGACCATCTAAAGCATCTAGCTTATAAGAATCTGTTGTAAGTAAATTATATTATAAATTAAAAAATACTATGAAGGAAAATTATATATATATATATATATATATATATATATATATATATATATATATATATATATATATATATATATATTTGGGACATCCCATTAAAACAATGAAATTTTATGATCATAGCTTTAATATGACCATCTAAAGCATTTAGCTTATAAGAATCTGTTGTAAGTAAATTATATTATAAATTAAAAAATACTACAAAAGAAAAAAATATATACATTTGGGACATCCCTATATATGTGTGTGTCAAGCCAAGCCAAGCCAAAAGCAGAGCTAATAAAACAATACAGTACATGGACAAATTTCTTGTATTTTTTTTTTTTTTAAAGACAAAGAAAAGTTTATTGAATGACACCCAGAGCAACTGACAAGACAAGAGCATTGAATATACAGCATAGTGTCTTCACTAAATGAAAAAATTAATCAAGGCTGTCCGTTCCATTGAGAGGAGATGCTTTACTTCAGTCAATTAGCATTTCAGCAATTTTAGAAGGCAATTAAAATCAATGGCAATGTAGTCAGGCACGATCAGGAACGGTCATCCCTGAGCTTGCTAAAACAGCTTTCTAAAACACACACAAGCTAAGCCTAGCTAAATACACCACAGAGCAAGAGCTACAATACAGAGGAGGAAATGAGTTTGGAATTAGTACAGAATGGAGATGGAGGATGGAGGAGCATCATACCACATGTGGGTACTTCACAAGCTCCAGCATGCAACTGGCCAGCACAAGCATGAGATCAGGCTGGAGGGACAGATGCAGCAAAGTGAGAGGAGTGAGTGCGTTATGAAAAACAGACAGACTGTAAAGCAATGGAGACAGAAGAGAAGGCTACCATGTACACTTCAGCACAGAAATAAAGAAAAGGGCTAAAGCTGGGACGCCACAATGGGGGTTCAAACAAACACACAGTTTCTCACACATCACCTTCACACACACATATACACACACAGTGGAATGTGTTAGCTCATACTGCGTGGGCTTAGGGGAGTGAAAGGGAGATTGTTCGGAGATTATTGGACAACGCGAGCCATTGGGCATTAGAGTTTCCCCACTGTAATTCACTGCAAAGCCAAAAGAAGCGTGGCCTGGATGGTGAGGTATGTGCGCACACATCAACACATACTAATGCGTGCAGCGGTGGAGACGATTGCACTGGCAGCCAACTTACAGGTACTAGCTTCCAATACCACTTTGAGGGAGACTATCCAAGTAGCAAGGGAGGAGGAGGTTAAAGGGAGAGAGACGGGAGGGGGAGCAGACAGGAATGTACGGTCAGAGAAGAAACAGAACTGACACCGCTAGCAGGCTCCAAAGAGAAAGAGAGAGAGACAGAGGGAAAGGGACTGGTGGTACTGGAGAACTTTCATATGCAATCTATTCTCTGTGATACAGTGAAGAGATTTTAGGCTGTATGCCAACACAGTCCAGTGAGACAAAAGGCTATCAAAACTCTGATATTGCTGTTCACATATTCCAGCACTGTACCTCCTCTAAACTTACAAAAAAAAAGAAAGAAAAAAGAAAAATTGGCAAGAAAATTAAAAGCTTAAAATAATGATACCTTCTGGTGGCTGGGTGAATCCAGCAGATGCTGCTTTACTTTGTGTTCCTTTTCTGTGATCTCTCTCATTTTCAGGTTCACCTGGAGACCACAGAGATATTATCAGAAGGCCATGCATGGATTACCTTTTCCAGGCTCCACACAATCTGTTTATACTGGCAGCTTTCTCTGGCCTTGGTTCAAAAAAAGATCCAGTAGGGGGAGAGAGACCAATCCTTTATTGACCTAGGCGATTCTATACACATATGAAGTGGAGAAATAACCCCAGACTGAAGTACTTTACATGGGATTAGTTTTACATGGGGAGGTAGAGTGATGTAATTATTACTAGTTTTTTTTAGTCCCGTTCAAACCCACCATGTAAATACCTTTTATAGACATGTTCTTGCATGTGATTCCAGCTTTTACCTACTATTTAACAAGCCATAGAAATAACTCTTAATTTTCAGCTGTCAAAATAATCATTACTGTGGTCAGTTCAGCCTCTGCAGTGCCCCCTCTGCTTCAACTCTACTCCAGGAGTGCATGTGGTAGATCAATACAGGAGTATGAATCTATATCACAATATGCAAATCGGTTAACCAATGTTAATAGTGCTCTGATGACAACATCCACTTTGTGCAGCACTGAACAAAAATGAGATTAAAATATAACAAGCAAAATCTTAGTCGTAAGTTGCCATTACTTCACTATCTACTGTTAGTTAAGGTTAGCTGTGTGAGAAAATGTGAATCACAAAACGATTTGGATAATTTTTTCTTTTAATTGCATTTTTTTTTTGCCTGTTTATATGAGACATTATCACCACTGCAATAATGCTAATTTCTGCTAGCCATGCAGTTTTGTAGTGTTATATAAGCACCAAGCTAACAATGGTGAATGTTTGCCGTACTGGGTTTAATATCATCTTACTTTAAACACGATATGAGTTCAGATATGTGTAGGCTCAGATAATCACTCCCATTCCATCCATCTCTCTCAATTTTCATTCTGCCAATTTTCTCTTTCTCTCGCCCTCTCTGTGTTTGCTTTTCATTAGCACCTAATGATAACTTAATGGTCCAAAGTGTCCCTTCCAATTTGAACCAGGGACCGATAAATGGTTAGGGCAAACAATTCCAATTAAATTATGTTTAGACATAATCTGCTTGCATACAGACAGAAGTACTGCATAGTGAACTTTTCAGGTGTCAAGAACGCATGAAACAAGTACACACCACTATCCTAGTAATTGACAAAGGTTTCTTATCCCGTGTGAATCAGTCATAAACATTACAGACATTCTGTAATAAAAGTTTACATAATATTACCCCACCTTCTCATGTAAAACTAATTTAATCCCTTCCACATAGTTACTTAACACAAGTAAGCTAGGGCATATTTGTTTAATATTAGAAATGAACACTTAACCTCTGGTTTATCTGAACAAGCTTCCCTGTGGGAAAATTCTTAAAACACTAAAACTCTCCCCAGGTTTGTCTAACAAATTTCAATCTTTATCTGTGCACATCCAAAACGCGTTTATTCACAAAGCACAGCAATAACCACTCAATTCTCAACATAATTTAACAAACTGAAATATTACATATGTACTTAAATCATAGTAAATCCCATTCACTGCATTGCAAGACTTAAAGTAATTTGCAAAGAGACACAGATTTAGACTGTAACCTTCATGTGTGCAGACAAATACTCAGGCACTCACCTTGTTAATCCAGAAGATCATGGCATCCTCCAGATCGAAGGGGAGCTCCTTTGAGGCACTAAATGTGGAGAAGCGTTTGACACAAGTCACCACCTTCTCAATGCTGATCATCTCCACTGTGTAGGCCATCATCAGGGCATCAATCATGGGCATGTGGGAGCTCTACAAGATAGTTCAGAAAAACAGGATTTATCAGATTCAATGGAATAGTGCAACTTCTCACACTGATGTGGAGCATCTGCTCTCACACACGCTGAGCTCATATTCCATAACAAACAAAAACAAAACAGCTCTCAGGCAAGCCATGAAATGCATATGACCTCAGAGTTCACAACTGAATTCTGAAATAATTCAGGTTCTATGGATGGTATGCTCTGATATTTAAATACAATACAGATCCAACGAGAGCAGCCCCGAAAAAAAAACCTCAATGCTGTTCTTGTAAGTTGAGCATAGTAACTGGGCCACAAAATAACCCAAATTAACACCAAACATTCTGTTCTCCGCGGATGTAATCCTATTTGGCCCAATTAAGGTCAGACTCTCATTAACAATGACAAACAAAATACCAACAAATGGCCATGACACTCAAAAGGTGAACTTGAGATCAGATTTTAGAAGCATTTACTTTATTCCAGAATGTTTATTCTTAAAATAAGAGCTGCACTAAAATTTCAGCCATTAAAAAAATTCTTGCTAAAAATGGTCACTTTCAGTTTTTGTCCAAAAGAGAAAAATGGCCAAAGATTTTGAAGGAAAAAAGAACCAAAATCTAAGACATTACAAATAAATTTACTGGTAGTAAAAATAAGAAGCAACAAAAACACTGCATCAAAAGGAGACACAATGCCCAATTGCTTCTCCACCACAGGTTTGAGACCATTGGTAAACTGCTCAATATGCAGAATACAGCAGTGCAACAGAAGCTAAAAAGCAGGTCCTGTAGCAGCTTCTTTAGCCATAGTTTAAAAAGAAAAAAAGAAAAAAAAAGAAAAGAAAAACACCCACAAATAAATAAACCAATCAATCACACCAGAGGCAAAGTACAACGAATAACTAAAAAAAAATAATGGGATTCATTGCCATGAACAATCAACCAGTCTCTGTTGTTGAGAGCGCTGGATTTTGTTGCACATGCTGTAGAGTACTGAAAAAAATTCTACTAGGTTTATTTTATACACATTTTTACTTATTTATTGCAAAATCAGAACACTAGTACATGAACAGTCTTCAGTTTTTGTTCCAAAAACCTACACACACACACTGGAGACCAGTCCTTTAACCTTTCTTTCTCTGAGGGTGTGTGTAGGAGCCCCAGCTGATCACTGCCTCACTCCCAGAGCCAGACTGTCTGCAGGCATCAGCTCCACCACAAAGCCCCTCCTGTTACCATGGAAACCCCTTGCCCAGTCATGCACTGGCTTCTTCTCTCTAGGTTGCACAAACATGTCAGCGCAATCCAGTTGGATTGGGCCTCCACTCCAGACAACTGTATGGGCTTACTTAAATGCTGCATTTCTGGGAGATTAGCTCTTGATCCTGACAATGAGCGAGACATCTTGACAAATCAGCTGACAGAGGAGCACTGCTATGGAGATGGCTGGTTGCCAGGGTAACAGAGTAAAATCACAGCAGGTTTGACTACCCAGGGAGCCCTCTGGGCCCTTACCAAGCTAGGAGATCTCCACCTATATAAGGGAAAACTGTGAACATAACAACTGAGAGTCAAAATTAGGGAGGCACTAATATGGGAATTGTAGACTTATGGTGATATCCAGTACTTTTTACATACATATTTGCAGACATTGATACCAATGCTGATAGACAAACATTTATAAAATGTAGCAATAGGGATTACATCTACCTGGATTAGCATTGCAGAGAAATATCTTTTTCCCGGTAAATACATTTACTTTCCGCAGAATCACACATCTACCAATACAAATATTATTCCAATATTATTGTGCATGTCTATCACAAATAAAGCTGAATACACACTACATTGTCAATAACGTTCAGAAACGGTCCCAAAAATGTTATCACAGTAATAAACAAGCCAGCAGTTAGGATGAGAACAAAAACAGGAAACAGAATCAAATGGAATTGATGAGCAGTTACATAACTGCATTACGCTGTGAAACAACTTCAACTGGCTGGCTTAAAGTCAATAGCTGATCAATAGGTCTTAAAATCACTCCAGTGGGGAACAAACAATCCAGAGTTAGCACAGTGACAGGAGGGTGTTAAACTATCCTGACACAGCACAGGTGTCACACTGTTAGATTACAATTATATTGGCGTATCAAAAAACTCTCAGTACCTCACAATCACTACTTGACTGGCAAATATATGTATACACTGTATAACATCTGGTTAGTTCTGGCTTTACAAGTCAAGTATCTGCTATGATGTCAAAGAAGGCAAAATGCTGGTCCCCACATGGTGACACTTAAGCACCTCTTTAGCCTAAAGTGATCTATGGCTACAGTAATGTTTCAGGGTATAGTCACCCCATGTCTCAAAAAAGTAACAGGAGGATTAGGCTTGAGCTGACTAACTATAGTATAACTATAGTAGTCAGACTTCATCTATCACGACAGCCATCAAGTTGGACAATTTAATTGTCAGAAAATGTAACCTCCATGGCTTTAAATTAGAATTACACTATTTTTTCTTTTTTTCTGCATAATTCAATTGTTGAGATGTGAACAGATTCATTCAGAGTTCTGGTATGAAACAGTGCTTGCCCATAGTGACCATTCCACTTACACCTGTCTGAGTTTTTATGTGTACTGTTGATGAAAATGACAATTTGTCACTACTTTACTTTTAACACCATACATATAACTCTCCATCAAAAGTGAAAGAAAAAGAAATAGGCCAAAAGCTTTTCTCAAAACTCACATAAAACAACGACCTAGGCATCACTCCACATATTTGTAACCATTTCGTGCAATAAATTTACAGGTAACTTTGAGGCAGCTTTTAGAAATACAAAACAGTTTGAAAGTCTGGTTCCGATCACCACCACTATGAACAATTCTGACTCGCAAAGTTTCTCTAGAATGGCACATTTCACATTAAACTACTCCAGATAGCTTTGTTTACATCTTAATCTAGCTATGCAGAATTTCTGAAAAATCAGTGGAACCCCTGTCAAAAATGCACAAAGGATTCTGCATTCTCTATATATTGTTCTCCATGTCCTATCTCAACCCTGATTTACTGTGTGGCTTCAAAACATTCTATAGCAGTGCTATTTTTACTAGGGTCATGGTTGCAGCAGCCTTCCTCACAAGGAACATCTTTCCCACCATATCATGAACTTTGGCTTAACTGACTGATGTGGTTCCATCAATGTGGTTAAAGACCAAAAGAGAATTTCATATATATCACCTTTATAACAGTAGACTACAGTAACAGCACCTAAATTAACACAGTAAGCTTACGCCATTCAACTATTTTAACAAGAAGATATCTATGTGCTGTAAGTGTGACTTTACCAAACTAAAGCCACAGTTTTTGACAAGAAACACAAGCATGTTTATGTTCTTCAGCTGAAACAAGCTTACTGGAAATTAGGGATGCATCAACATCATTCTTCTCAGGTTGAATACGGGTATGTATTTTTTGTACTCGCCAATAGGGTGCCCAATACCATACTGAGTTATCTACTTAGAATTAAGTAGTTGTTAGTGTAAATGCGTGCAATGTACCTTGACAGTTAAAACATCAAAATCTAGCTGATTTTAAATGAAGCATTAGCTAGCTATGCTATTTTATTTAACACTACCTTGGAGCAAGCAGCACTGCAGTGAAGAAGAGTGGGTTTTGTTTCACATTGGAAAAGCACTTCTGTGCAGTTGTAGGTTTGGTCCTCATCTGTGTCGTTCAACAATAATTTGTATGACTATGAGTACAGGAGCACAGTACCGGGCCAATAGCCGATACCTGTGACAATATCGATGCACCCCTATTGGAGATAGGTTACTGAAGAAAGCTGCTGTTAATCACGACTAATGTCGACCTTACACTAAACGAGTGCAAAGCAGAAAATGCATGCGTGAGTGCCTGAAATCTCTGTAAAAAGGCAAATGTGCTCCATTTTAAAACAATAATCATATTAACCTAAAAATGCAAACTGGCTGTTTTAACATTTTAAGTTCGCTGAGCCTGTAACAATGACGTAAGGAAATGTGTAGAGGACTTTAAGAATGGCATTATTGAAGATGCATAAATGTTTTTTGTTTTTTTTTCCCCCCTCATTCGTTTCTTTTTTCGGCTTTCTTGTACACTTAGTTTTAGTTCACAACATAGCCAGAATATTCAGCTCTACAGTGAACTGGGCTGAGCCCCAGATCTTTGCATGCCCAGCATGTCTTCCCATTTGTACCACTACAGAGTGGAGAAGCAAAAGGGTTTCTCTGCTTATAAATTTCCTCCAGGTGCATGATGGGAAATAATGTCAAAAAATCTAGTTGCAGTCTTGCAAATAGTGACCCTGCAAGATCCCCAGTCTTTGCAAAATCATAGTCTGTGACTAAAAACTGTGACATTGTTGATAGAGGGTGTCAGATTTTAATCTTTCAAAAGTCTTCTAGTGTACGGTTAGCATAAGAGGGTTCTGAGTCTGTAAGTTAATAGCAGCTTCTCAGGCAATATTTACTCACTTGCGCAGACTTGTGGTAATTTTCTTTTTCTGGAAAGCTGCTCTTGCTTGCCCGCCACCACGCCACTATTAGCGATAGCTCACAAGCCTTATGGGGCTGGGTGTTCTCCTAAAGCGACCTAAAGAAAGCTGAGCGAGTTATGCTGTAGGCAAACTGACCTTGACTGCTTTGTGATAATTGTGCTGGTGCTACTTGTGCCCCTGGTGTTCATACAAAGCAAATATCACTCAGTCACACACACACCTTGGAACAATTAGGTTTTGTCAAACAGGTTCATGTGCATTACACTCCACAAAGCATTGTACAGGGTGTGGGCTAAATGAGAGCCATTTGCATGTAAAGGGATAAAACCACAAGTGGGTGGACAGTGCTGACTCACAAACACTTTCAATTTCCTTTCACTAAAGCAGAAGATTACTGCAGGCTGAAACACAGATGGCAATCAACGCCATCCACTTGTTCTCTAGTTTTAGTAGAAGCTCTTGCTTTGAGGTTTTGCACAAAGGTAGATGGTGGTGGATAGGCACTACTGGGCTAAAGAGATTCAGAGATATACACACACACTTAACAGTAGTTTTCTTTTGTCTGCCTTGTCAGTGTGCAGATAAGGCATCTAGAACAGGAAGAGTTCCTCACACCACAGCATATATCCTGACAGTATACCTCCATATTTCCTGCTTATCAGTGTTATTCTGCTGTCACTTAGCATCAAGTCTTCTAACTAGCAGTGCAAAACATGCTACATCTCACTCACAAGGTTCAGTGGTTTCACAACACAACACAACAAATTCATGCAAAAAATCCATGCAAAAGCATTCGCAACTCTCTCCATATTCACCATTTTGATAGGCTGACAAGTGAGGTCCGCCTCTGTGACAGGCGTGTCATCACCCTCCATAACATAGATGCCTTTGCGGGACAGGGCCTGAATGACCGACTGATGGGACTGAAGGGAGGCCACCTGGTCTCCTTTGAGGATGAGGCCACATACACGACAATAGAGCTCACAGGACAGCAACAGTCGGATCACGGGGGGTTTGATGTGCTCCTGCTCGTACTGGTCGGTGTAGAAAGGGTCCCTCAGGTCCTCAGGGATGTGATCTGAGAGGGGAAAACAGGGGAAAGATTAGAAACAGTGGCAGTTCAAAAGGTTATCTGATGTCAAAGAAGCATAAAAGCAGTTAAGATGCTGATTATTGTCCCACTAAACCAGCATCCAATTGTCTAAGTAGAGCAGCATTTAGGCTCCAAGGTAAATTAAGTCAATAGAGATCACATGGTGGAAATGGGGACCCATAAATAACAGGTAGTTCCAGGTGAGGACAGATTGAAAGCCAAAGTGTACAGCACTATGTGATTCAATGAATCACTGAGACTGATTGTTTTCCTGATTGGCTGGGGGATTGCTGATCTGTAAGTGTTACCAAACCGAGTGAGGGTGTGAAAACAAAGCTGCGCCACCATGCTTCACAGTTTTAGAGATCCCACGTTGACACTGAAGAGCTGTGGCAACTGGGGTCTGGCTGCAAACACACTGTTCAAATATTTAACTGAAATAAAGCCAAAACTGCACTTCACTTTGTATGGCATGGCACCATCTTCCTCCTCCCAGGAGCACGAATAATAACTAGCCTTATCCAAGGGTACCATTCTGCTGCATGTCAGATGGTACCAATTATCCCTCATGCATGCATGTACACACACCTGACCTCTCTGGCGCACCATGTAAGAAATTGTGCTTTGCGCCCTGCCTGATTGTCTGACATATACATGGGACATACTACAAGCTGGTATATAAGAACCTAAACAAGGCATTAATGACAAATAGCATAGCTACTATTTTATTGTGCAATGACAAAAAAAAATTGTTAGCATGAAGTGATTAAAAATTGACTGCACCCACTTTTCCCCATGTAACTTGTCTAAGGCCAGTGGTCAGTCTTGTCAATGTGGAAAAACAAAATGCCCCAGCTTCATGAGCAACTTTTCAGCCATCCTCCACTTGTCAGACAGCCAAGAAATACAGTGTGTGAAACAGCTTTAACATCAGACTCTCTCAAACATTAAAAATATTCTAAAAGATTTCAGCTGCATCAGCAAGCTTTCAACCATTCCCCAGCAGCCAAATAGTCCAGTATACTTGGCCAGGATTTTAAAGACCCTTAAAAGGAAGGATAGACTAGCATAGTAAGATAGCAAACTCATCATCTGCATGGATGCCAATTACCATTTTACATGCTCAAAAAGATTAGGGTCATGTATGAATAACAGCACAACCTGGCCATCATGGAGAATCCATGTTAGCCTAATGCTTTAAATTGCACAGTTATGGCTTGCAGCATTAAAGAAAAAAAAAGCTTTCTTTTTGTTTGGAACAAAGAGCGAGATACTTTTGTGAAAGGACACAAAACTAAAAAAATAAGAGGACACAACTTTTGGGAAAGCAATACGATACTGTGTTGTAACTATAGTATTGGAAAATCAAAAAATCTAAACTGCACCACAGATATGCCCCCTGGGTCTCTTCAGAGGGTCTCTAATTTGCCACCTTTTGCTGAAATATTGTTAACAACCTAAACCAGGCATCTTGGTGCATGCTCTCAGCGCAAAGGGGAGAAAGGCTTCAGCTAGACACATCCCTGCTTCAGTTACTAATTTTTTTCCTCTTATAAGTTCTAGCGTTTGCGATTTTCATGTGCCATGACTACACCTTTCTGTGTAATATACAATTAGAACTCTGCAGCATGAAGACATCTTCACAAAAAACATCAAATATTGTGTAGAGTCCTGATCTCAAAACCATAAACTGTGTCCTGAAACCAGAAAACATGCTTATTTCCCCATACCTAAGACAAAAACCCCACATTTACGTAATTACCACACGATCATAACAAATACAGCTGACACGGCCATCACAACTTCAACACAAATTAATTATTGATAAGCAGAGCAACCACGTCTTGAGTGGAATTAGGTCATCTGTCTCAGAGACTAAAGATTTCCTAGCCAGTGATAAGAGAGCTCCCCTCCACTGTACAGTATGGGGGCTAGCTGTAATCATAACATGCTTGAATACACTAGCCACAGGATCCACTTTCCATGGCGAAGACTTGAACACAGTGTTGCAGTGGGACTCACATGCACATGCTAAACACAAACCTATCGTTTAATGTGTCCACAGACCACGAAACACTACTGACTTTGGAAAAGGGTTTACCCTACTCAAACTTCCACCAGTGATGAAAATAGCAAGAAATCAATGTTTAATGCCTGCAGTGACATTTGCCCAAGCTTTGCTCTGCCTGTGTGCAACAGACCTGTGTTGTCCAGTGCCAGGAAAAGAACTAAAAATATACTCTGTGCAACAGTGCTGCTGGTTAATGCTGTAGTCCAGAGTTAGTGAGTTAGCGCAGAGAGAGCAGTCACGCTGCCGTGTTATTTTACAAAAGGGCAACAGAAGGGTCAACAGACTTTTTAAGAGTTTGGATCTACAAATTGTAGTAAACAACATAATCTGATTTTCCATACAGACAACATCGGATTAGCAACGATCACTTCAAAAGCAACAGCAAACTTGTGAAATGAGGTGATAACAATATTATTTATTTAGTGGAATATATAAGACTACTTCCAAGTTCTTAATGAGTTGTTAGTTTGACTCATGCACTGTGAGGCTAACATGAGGAATCAGGAATAACAGGGTTTGGAAAGTCAGGAATGCTTAAATTAATTCATTATGGACAAAACTGCCCCTCCTCCTCCTCTGCTTGTATATACAATCTTGGCTACTTGCAAAAGTCAAACACCATAATTACTGATAGAGGAAATGGCCTCTCAGCCTCAAGCCATGACTATTCCAAAGGCTTAAGAATCACAATAAAAATCACAAAATGCACTGTGGTCAGAGGTACTACTTCTGAAATGCAGCTAGTGAGCTACTGGGAGACTGTACTTCCACTTCACATGCTAAATTTTCATCATGCTAGCTTTGCAAATGGAACGAATGCTGTTGATCCTAACTGCCAGGTCCTGCATCAGTGGACAGAAGCTACTGCTGCACTCACATCCTGAACTTTGCCTGCAGTGACCCAGATCAACTTCCACTGATTGAAGTTTACCCACTGATGGCTTAGGACCAATTTCGAAAAATAATATGTCAAAACCATGTGACCAAAAGGAATGCCTACAACATTTTAGTATAAAGAAGGGCAAAGCTTACTTGAAGAAAGGCCTTTCCATCTGTTATGGTGACCAAATATGGTAGACTGACTGTGCTCTGAGATAGCTATGTTATTATGCAATGAAGATATGATGGCAGAGAAAATAAGCAGTTACAGAAACTTAACTCAGCAACAAGTAAAGATGAGGCGGATCTCATGCATTTTATATGGATTCTAAAACACAATCTACTTCTGTGGCTGACTAGCAAACTCAAGCTGTCTTGGCTGCCAGTCGTGTCATGTCTTAACCACCCAGCTTGGATAGGAATCAAGGCCGTGCGCTAACTGAGATGACAGAAAATAGCTTACCGATTCCGTAAGCTTTAGCAAATAGCCATCGTAGGTTGGCCGCGATTTTTGCCCTCGCTGAATCGTACATCTCCAGCGGTGTAATCTCCAACGCCTCGCCTGTCGTTTCCATCTTTCTCCGGGTGCTGTCCCCTCCAGCACCCAAGTCCACGTCCATCCTGAGGCCACTGCCTACAACAAAACGATTGTCCGAAACGTTAGCACACTGCCCTTTTTGTACTGTCTCACAAGAACTTGACTTCTGTCCTTATTCTTTAACCTATATAGAATAACGTATCCACGTAGATAAAGAAGCGTTTCTTTATGGAAACTAGCTAACGTTACTGGTGTCGGTAGAGCTACCACAGCGATATGCAAATATACTAGCCAGCTAGGTTAGCTAGCTAGCTAACCTAGCTATCCTATCTATCAAGCTACTTTGAACAAACCAAATGATACGAATTTCACAAAGGTATACTGATTTACGGATAAACTGTATTTTAAAAGATGAAATTCCAGTGAACACCCGCAAGTGGACTAGTAACTAGCTAGCTAGCTATTTGCGATGAACGTTAGCTTAACGCTAGTTAAGCTAATCATGTCGCGCAGGCTAACTGGCCAGCCAGGTGTCTAGTAAGCTAATAGCTTTAGACTAGAACTCAAGACTCTGTATGAAATTATATATATATTTTTTGGCTAAACAGCTAGCATGGCTGGATAAAAAGAAGTTAACGTTATTTAACCTTAAATTGACAATGCTAGCTTGTATATTGCCCAATTTTCGCAGAAAATTTAACCTTATATGCAAGACTATGCGCACTGAGAATAAACGACCACTGGACGTTGCCAGGTGAATAAAGGGAGTGTTAGCTAACGTAGCTAACCTAGATAACTAACTATATAAGATAGACAGGGGAAATACTGCCAGTCCTTAGAATGAATAACGTTAGCCTGCTCGCTAAACCCAGTAAACTACTAGCGTTTTGCAGGCTAGTTTATCTTACCGTGAGCACGCTAAAGCTAAACAGACAATAACAGCACTAACAGTGTGCCGAAAAGAGCTCAATTATCTTCGCTAGCAGAGCAGTGTATCTGCATACCTTATACTTTATGCTATATCAGCAATCCAACTTGAGAAATCCGTCAGTTAAGAGTGAAACCATCGGAAAAAGCACGCCAGGGGAACTCATAGAGACCCGCTGGTCCGAACCGACAGCAGCGGAGACGTAGCGGGTGACCGTCTCCTCCCAGCAGCGCTATAGCAGCAGCAGAAACACACGGAGTGAACAAACCTAACAACCGCGCCTCCAGAGGCTGACATTCAAAATGTAACCGACGACCACGATTCAAATTAAAGCGGATTTTTGGCTCCTTAACAGTGGGTGATGCCGTTTTGGCACAATAATGAATCTTTTAAAGTCCAGTGTGCATAAAAAGGGGGCATCTTTGTGATTTTTACAGTGAAATTTGGTAAAGCAATAAATTTAGATTCGAAAGTCTTTGCTGTAGTCTTAAACAAATTTAATAGTCTAAGCATTTGCCTATTCATTGACCTTTCATGGTAAAATTCCTGAAGAAATGAAGGATATTTCAAGAAATTATGAATTGTTAGTATTACTAATACTAATATTGAGGCTATCGCTATCCTTGAATAATACCTGTGCATGTACAACAAATACAACCCTGTTTCCAAAAAGTTAAGACACATGAAAAGTTAATTAAAACAGAATGCAATCATGTGCAAATCATTTAAATCATATAGCTAATTGAAAATAGTACAAAGACAACATTTCAAATGTGAAAACTGAGAAATTCTATTGTTCTTCAAAAATTTGCCCATTTTGAATTTGATGCCAGCAACACGCTTCAAAAAAGTCGGGACGGGGACAACAAAAGACTGGTGAAGTTGTGTAATGCTGGAAAAACACCTCACAACTAATTAGGTTAATTGGCAACAGGTTAGTAACATGACTGGGTATGAAAAGAGCATCTTAGAGTCTTTCAAAAGTAATGATGGGGAGGGGTTCACTACTCTAACTTTGGGATTTCATCATAGCAAAGAACTTTGGGATTTCATCATCTACAGTACATAATACTATTAACAGATTCAGAGAATCCAGCAAAATCTCTGTATGAAAGGGACAAGGCCAAAAACCAATACTGGATGGCTGGGATCTTCAGGTCCTCAGACAGCACTGCACTGCATTAAAACCGACATGATTCTGTAGTGGAAATCACTGCATGGGCTCAGGAACTTCTGACAACCATTGTCAGTGAACACAATACACAATACAAGTTAAAACTCTACCATGCAAAGAAGAAACCATATGTAAACAGGATCCAGAAACATCATAGAGTGCCTCATTCACCAACATCTTTCTAAGTTTCTTCTTAAATTTGTTCTTAAAAAGGTCCTAAGAAAAAGTCTAAGTCAAATTCATTATGCGTTCTTACCTTTGTGCTGTTCGTACCTTTGTGCTCTTAAGTGTGTGTAGATTCTGTTCTTACCTAAGAACAAATCCCAAATAAGAAAACACTGGTGATTGTCAAAATCTTTGTGAAAACCTCATGAGTGGGTTTTAAGAAGAAATTTCTTCATAAGAATGGTTGGTGAATGAGGCCCATTGCTGCCTACTCTGGGCCTGAGCTTATTTAAGATGAACTGAGGAGAAGTGGAAGAGTGTGCTTGATATGACAAAGCAAAATTAAAAATTCTGTTTGGAAATAATGGACACTGCATCCTCCAGGCTAAAGAGGAAAGGGACCATCCAGCTTGTTATCAGCAGACAGTTCTAAAGCCAGTACCCGTGTTGATATGGGGGGGCATTAGTGCATGTGGCATGGGTGACTTACACATCTGTGAAGGCACCATTAATGCTGAATCATATACACTGGTTTTGGAGCAACATATGCTGCCATTCAGGTGATGTCTTTTTCAGAGAAGGCCTTTCTTCTTTCAGCAAGACAGTGTCAAACCACATTCTGCACGTATTACAACAGCATGGCTTTATAGTATAAGGTGCTAAACTAGCCTGACTGCAGTCCAGATCTGCACTGAAAACATTTGTTGCATTATGAAGCAAAAAATATGACAAAGGAGACTCCGAACTGTTGAGCAGCTGAAATCTGATATCAAGCAGGAACGAGAAAACGTTTCACTTTTAAAACTGCAGCAATTGGTCTCCTCAGTTCCCAGACACTTACAGAGTGTTGTTAAAAGAAGAGGGGATGAAACACAGCAGTAGACATGCCCCTGCCCCAACTTTTTTGAAACATGTTGCTGGCATCAAATTCAAAATAGGCATATATTTTTCAAAAGCAATAACATTTCCCATTTTTAATATGTTGTCTTTGTACAATTTTCAAATGAATATAAGGTTTAAACAATTTGTACATTATTGCATCCTGTTTTTATTTACATTTTGCTCAGCGTCCCAACTTTTTTAGAAACAGGATTGTACATTAAAGTTACTGGATAAAGAAAACAGTTGGGATGAACATTGTTTATTTAAGGATCAATTCTTGTGAGGAAATTACAGAATCGAAAATATAGATACTTCAGTATTGATTAGCCAACACCTGCTCAGCAGTGAATCACAAAGGCCATGAAAAAGACACAGATCTGACATTCCCTTCAGTTTACAATATGACTTGGATATTGAAAAAAATTGTCCAAATGTTTGTTTTTGTTTTGTTTTTTTTTTGTATAGCCTACCTAAATAATCAAAAGTGTTTGAATTTAATATCCTGTAGTGCATCTGTTGAACTGATTAAAGGGTGATTCTGCCAATCTTTCACATTTTCTTCCACTTCAAATTTTTCATAACTCAATTGTTGAGATATAAACAAAGTAGGTCATTCACGTCGGTTGGATGTGAAATGGTGCACTGTTGAGAAACTTACCAACTTTCTTTACAGTGTTGGTGAAAGGAACCAGAGGTCAAGATGTCTACAACACAAATATACCTATTTTATTTACTGTCCGAAACAAACAGTGGACCTACACATATCTTCTGGGATTTATATGTAACGCAGATAATGTCAAAAAAATATTTGGGGCTTTAATGGACGTCTCTGCCGTGAATTGATGAAAAAATGTTGTAGGCCAACCTTTATCTCAAAATTATCACAAAACAATGATTCAGAAATTAGACAGCACATTCAAAAAGGTTTCCCAGTTCACAAAATTTGTCTAGCTCACTTGTGGGCCACATCTTTGGTTTGTTCTGGCCCAGTATACGGCTGGGTCCGCAGCCCAGATCTTGCCCACACCTGATAAAGTGAGTAGAACTAAAGGATATGGCCCAAATCTTGACCCAATCTGACCCAACAACATTGTAGGTTCACAACATTTACGCCAGAATTGTTCCACAAATGTAGACACAAGGCAAAAAGGTATGAAGCTGTCCAGGATCTGCCCATATTCTGGCCTAACATCTACCTGGTAGTCAGCCAACAGTCACATAGGAAAGCCAGAATCGGCCAATACTGTCTGCTATCTGGGCTCATGTTCAGTGACACAGCTTTTAGAGGCGTTTAAGTCTTTGTACGTCTGGTTCCTGTCACTGCTACTGAGAACTATTTTGATTCTCAGTAAGTTTCTCTAAAGCTGAGCATTTCAAATCAAATCACTCTAAGCGGCTTTGTTTACATCCTGATTACTTAATTATCTAAATATTTTAAAATGGCTGGAATTCTCCTTTAACTATGTAAGTCGATTTCCTTCCAGAAGATTCCAGAAGGAAAAACGGCACTACAAGCAAAGCCAGATTCTTGTACCAGAATGTTTATTACAAGAGGGGCACTGACTGAAACATACACATGAATTCAGGAAGAAAATTTACTCTTGGAAGAATCTGACACCCTTGCAGGTATTTATACCGCTTTCGTTTAGTCACGCAAACGCTGCTTCGAAAATGCATCTGTGAATATATGTATTGAAACTACAGTCGTACCACAAGATGGCGCTCTGTGAACGTATTATGTGGCTACTGACAACACACTGTGGTAGATTCCTGTCCTGAACAGACTTGCAGTGTCCCAACACCATATTAAACTATTAACTAGGTATATATTGTACTGTGTATTTATCTTATTTCTGGACGGTTTTGGCAGGTTATACGCACAAAATGTAAACATTACACCACTTGACATCAAGCTACAACGCTGTAGCTTACACTCTTCAAAA